AGGAAAGATGGTGAATGTGATGATAGTAAGGGGATGATACTGTTGATTGTGGGACTTGAGCTCTGGAGAGACAGTAGCACTGCCCCTGTAACTATGAAGACCTTCATCTGACTGTAGAAACTTCCAGCAGCAGCAATCATGTTTTCAGTGATTATGCACCCTTGGTACCGGGAGAAAAAGCTGCTGTGAATGATTGATCTCCAGGAACCTAATGACAAGGGAAATAAAAAGAAAACTACCATCACATCCATTTTCATTATCCACCCTGATAATTTAAGCCTGCCCATACAAACACAGCTTAGCTTCAGGTATTAAAGTTTTGTGCCATGCTCCACACTCCCAATTAAACAACTCTTTCCATTTTCTCTCCTTTCCATCTTTGTTTTACAGATATGAATTTCAAAATGAGTCTGATGGAAATAAGGAAATACTGCAAGAATTGTCCTCAGAAAGCCCTTAAAAAAGTTCCTGGACCCCTTCCACAGTTAAAATGAGCAGAGTGAGAACAGGATGAAAAACATCTGCCTGCTGGCACATCTCACAGTGCTTTACTTGGTGGAGGGCCCTGCTTGCACAGACAGGACATGAGTGTATCTTATTTTTTTCATTTGGGAAAGGCTTCATTACTGTTTATTCATTCACTCGGGCTCCATCATCTTGATAACATTAGCCTGGCAGCTAAAGAGTCAGGAAAAGCTGTCTGGCTGCCACCAGACTTCATGTCACTTGTATATTCCTCTGCACCAAACAGGGATTTAGGTCCTCAAGTGAGAGGAGAAGGAGAGCTGGTTAAAGACCTAGCTGAATCAGTATATTTAGTGTTTATGGATTGCCTGACAGGTGGTGAAGGACTGATGTTATTGTTTCTAGTTGTTGGTATATGTGCATATTTAACCTTTTCTATGAATTATTAATTTTGTATTGACAAAATGATCGTGTTTGTAGCTAGGCACATGATGATTTTTACTGCAGCCTTTGCTCTCAGTGCTTGAAATTCACTTGAAATTACATTTCTAGCAAGTGAGATAGAGTTCATCATTTAGAAACAGCTGAGAAACTAGATAAGCAGATTGTTAAAAAAGTGGTAAAGGACCAGATTTGAGTACAGTGGTAAGCTTTTGAGTATCATCTCCTCTGAGGGTTTAAATCTGACTTTAAAAGCAAAGAGACCTGTTTAACTTCCTAGAAGAATGTCATCAAGTGGTTATTAAACAGCATAGTGAAAAGTGTTAAAGCTAATCAGATTAAATATCTTCCTCCTGAAGCCAGAAGGCATCTGTTCTTTCAAGACACCTGAGTTGTGTGATCACCCAATAAACAAAAATTGCTGGAACATGAAATTAATGCAAAGAATAATACCAAAGGGCTGAACAACAGAGAAACTGGAGCACACTCTGCTGGTATCATTAGCAGTGATTGGTGTCTTTACTCACGTATCTTTTGTCCTTTCCTCATTGTCCTCTGCATATGTTATTTCTCTGCCTGGAAGCAAGTCCTTAAAACAGAATTATTTGCTTGTTCATAAATTCATTTTTCCTTCTAGTGAATATGAGGAGGAGGAAGATTTCCTGCTCTTGGGGAAATTGCAGATTGGAAATAATATTTTTTCCCTCAGTACTCATAGTACCACTGCTTCTCTTAAAATAATTTTCAGTACAATAGGAATAGTCTCAGTGCCCTTCAGAATTTGGAGGAGTTGAATGGGGGCAGTCAGAGGCCTGTTGTAGCCCACACAGGCAAATGCAATTCCCAAGGGTCACAGATACGGGCAGTTCCATGAAGCCATGCCCTCACTGTCAGTGTTTCTATTGTAATGAGCAATTGAACCTATTTCTGAGTCTCCTGTGTGCTTGTTATCGTTTTATTTTCTTATTAGTTTTGAGATTAGATAGATCTGACTCTTAGCTTCCTATTTTTGAAGAGCTGACCATGTATAGCATTTTTATATTGAGGATGAAGGAGCTGCCAGTTCTCCTCGCAAGATCTTTGAGTCAGGAGGATGGCAAAGCAGTTATGTTTGATTGTTCTGTTGCTGATCACTGGGCCAGCGTATTTTATTTCTATTTTGTCTTTTGTAGAAGGAATCCATAGAATACAAATGACAAATAAATGTGAAGAGAATTTTTGGTATTAAATGTTTGCAGCAGGTTTTTACTCTGTAAGATATAACCATGTGTGTTTTCAGCTCTATATAAAGCATTGTGAACAAGCATGAAGTTTTCTTTTACATCTGAAAAAATGCTGTACGATTTTTCTCTTCACCCCACACTCTCCAGTCCTCTTCAGGCAAAATGTTTTCTCTGATAGCAAAAACATAAGCATCAAAGACCATTAGCACAATTAAAAGAATACTATGGGTCTCTGGAGGGATCCTGGGACACCACTTAATGCGCTCCAGTATTTTTACTCTCTGAGTTTCCCTAACTGGCCTCAACCTAAGGTTAAGGGCTGTTCAAGTTAAAGATGCTACTTGTGTGAGGTCCTAGTCTTTGCTGAACAAAATAAAACAGATATTTTCAAATTATTTCAGCATAGATTGTGACTGCTGCCCAAACATGCTTTTTTGCTTCATCTAGAGGTATCAGGACGTCATATGTCAGCCCTTGAAGGTGATTCCTCAACAGAGTTTGATTTTTATGTACCAGGCTGTTTTCCTCATGTGGTAAAACAGAGCTACCATCTGATGCTGGGTTCACTTACAGGCATCTGTTCTTCCTTTTGTTTTCCTTTCACTTCTACATATATTTGTTTGGTATTACCTGAGGAGTAACATATATTTGCTCTGTGGGTTTTCAAAATGCACAAGCTGTATGCAGAAATAAAGTAGTAAATTTAGCTTGTCCAATCTGACAAATGTTTTGGGTTTGTGTTTTGCTGGTTTTTTTTTTGTATCTTGTGTTTTTGTGTGCATTTGGCTGTCAAACAAGAAAATTGCACAATAGGAACAATAGTTCCTTCAAGTTCCAGGTTCCAGTAAAGGTGTTTTTGAAGTATCTCTATGCCTGTCAGAACAGATTAGATCATGGTCTGACCTTGTGAACTAAATGAGCCAGGTAGCCCCTCACTTTGTTTAGAACTTAATACCACCAGAAAACCTCAAATCAGTCTGTCTTATTTGGCACTATGACTGTGAATTGTCAGGAGCAATGGAGAAATGATCCCTGCTGTCAGGGAGTGTTGGTTGGTGCAGAGGCAGGTTTGGGAATCTCTCCTTTCAAAGTGAGTAATAAAAGAAATTAAATTATGTGGGCTTTATACAGAATGGGATCCCAAAAGGTCTAACGGGTGCTTCTGCTATTGGCCTTTCAGCCCTCTAAACTGTAGCAAACAACTGAGGCAAAGGCCTAGGTATAGTTGAAGACTTTAGGATTTTAGCTCTGGAGAAGTTCTGTTTATCCAAAGTATGGACTAATGGCAACTTCTTGGAATTGTGTTTGCTAAGGAAAACTAAAATTCTGCATGGACATTGTCATCTCAAATAATAAACTCAGGTGAAACATAAGAAAAGAGGGATAAATACTTCCTGTTGTAGATATACATGATACATAAGATATATAAAATAACTCTTGCCAAAACTAAGTGGAAGACTCCTGGTGACTTCAGTATTCATTGGATCAAGTCTGGAGATCTGTTGCCTGATTCTATTTAGTCTGATATTGTAGCTGCACACACACACACGCACACACACCCTGCCATGAATAGCTTTAGGAAAGTATTGTCAGACGGTGAATGCAGATCAGATGTGTATACCCTTTTACTAAAGTTTTTTCTGGGAAGAATTTGGCCAAAGCTTAGGACTGACTTTCTCCTCTTGTAGGTGGAAGGTGAGGAGAAAACTCCCTTACACATCAATCTTCTTTTTGCCTCAGATCAAGCAGTTCTTATTAGATGTGAGCAGTTGTCTTCACCGCGGCTAATTTCTCTGCAAGATTAAGTATTCTTTCAATTGGTGGTGGGAAGCAAGAGAGCTCCTTAGTCCGACATGAAATTGCATGAACTAAGATATTGACTCCAACCTGTTTATGTCTGTTCTTCCTAGTAGCCCTTCAGTATTACAAGACTTAGGGCAGCCACTGGATAACCTATGTTGGTTTTGAACGCTAAAAGGTCTTGTCATGCTTTGCCTTTTAAGCTCAGAGGAGGGGTATTGGCAGAGGAAGCATTCCCAAAAATTGCTTTGGTTTTCAATATTTCAGTGGTGGTGATATCTGCCAGAAAAGTTCAGTGTCTGGACATGGATTTGTTCAAGTTGTCATTCAACCTTTGTGCCAGCATTGGTTAGTGTGTTTCAGATGCACTGACTGTGAGTATCTTCAGATGTAGGGGATTAAATTCCACATTTTCAGGCTGATGCTCTGCAAGGGAGTGGCTAAGGCCAGAGATTTGCTGTAGGATAAGCACCTTATATTCACAATGCCATCTGGTCAGCCTCTTTCAGAGGCTTTCAGCATTATCAGAGAAATCAGGTCACTATGTGCCTGTGAGAGATCCTAAACTGAACATGACTTGTCTGTCTCCTTCAGCCTGACACTATCACAAAAATCTCTGTAGTCACAAGAAGCTGTCATTCCAAGCCCAGTTTCTGTCAGAAACTCAAAACTGCATCAAGAATGATGCATAATGATCCAGTTCAAGAGCTGATTAGTCCCAGCTGGCAGTACAGCACAGATATTCACAGGTGATGATTTAAACCTTATATAGGAGGCATTCAAAAGTTCAGTGCACACAAAAATGCCCGGTCAGTGGATGATTGTGATTAACTGCCCACTAGGCACCTGTACAATCTCTTAACTGTATTAATGTTCACATGCATTTCTGGTAAGTGTAGTGCAGTCAAAGCAACTTCTAGATCCTGGCTAATAGGATCTCCAAGTCCAAAAGATAAAGAGCAGCAGTGTTTCCCTCGTTTGACTGGCAAGATGGCACTTTAGGGCTTAAGTCAGTGAAGAAAAGTGGTTATCTGCTGGGTTCTGTGATTGTTGTTTTGTCATCAGCAATGATCCTAACCTCGGGGGGGGAAAAGACATTCTTGAGGCACTGTTCAGTTAGACTGTAGTCCATACAGTTTGCCTGGTCTATGAAAATCAAATCTCTCTATCCTGCTCTTAAAATCAGCTCCCAAAACTGAAGTGTACTGGAAAATGCTGTCTTTGCAAAGTGAGTTCTAAAGACAAGACTTCCTGTTTGCACTGTTGCAGAGCCCTGTCACACAGTCAGTGCCAGGTGTGTGGTTTTACACACAGCTTTGTGCCAGCAAGGCTAAAACCTGTTTCTACCCTGGAATTTTCCCCAAGAGGTCAGTGTGCCTGGGAAGAAAGATGTTGTCCTACAAAGAGAAGTTTGAAGAAAAAAAGAGAGCATTTACAAATGCTATCAGAGAAGCAGCCAGATGGTTGAAAACAAGATTCTGAATGAGATGAGATAATGCAGCAGTGTTCGCAAGTCCTTCTTTAAAGTGTTCTTTTCAACTCACTGGCTTTCCAGTTGTTAACTTTTCATTATTTGGGAAACAGTAAACGATGACAATTGTCACTGGGCTCTTATCTTGAAATCGTTTGAATGTACCAAGGTTAAACAATTCATCATTATCCTTTACCTTAGTTAAATATCTATCAGTATTGCTGCTTTCTTCTGCAAAAATCTTCAGGTGAGTGGCTGATGAAAAGAGAGATTAAAAAAAAATCTGACCTGAAGTTACGTCTAGCAAAGCACTGTGTGCATGGTTGGCCTTAACCTCATAAGCTCCACCTTCGATGATCTCTGAAAAGAACTCCCCTAGATTTCCATCAATTTAAGTCAAGACTCAAGAGATTTTAAAAGAGATCCTTAAGTCTGAGAAGGGAAGCCAATCTTCTCTTTGTGATGTTATTATAAATGTGCTTTGCACCTTTCCCTGTCTATTGAAAAAAATTTCTCTCTGCTTCCTTCCCCAACTTTTTTTCCATGCTTTCTTCTGTTCCTACACATGTTTTTACAGTTTTTGATGCCAAGCTTTCCTTACTGGCTGTTCTGACTAGAAAAGTCATCTTTTGTCTCAAGCAAGATGGTCCCCCACCCATTCTTTGTCAGATCTATGTGAGATCTTATCTCAGAGATATTATTCTGCTGTCTAAATTTCCTCAAGTTGTTCTCCTTGTGCTGAACTACTTTAACTCCATGAATTTCTGTTCATGAGACTGACTGGAGCGCACATTGTCAAAAAGATGTGGCATAAAATATTTCTGCATTGCATTTGTTGTTTCCAGACATAATTTTTTTTTCAAGGACAGTTTCAGTTACAAGATTTGAGCATCTCTGTTTCAAGGCATCATCTAATCATGTTAAAGTCACAGTGAGTAGGGATTTTTCTGTCACTTCGTTTGTGTTTCAGCCTTCACTGTAGTAATTTTGGATCATGTAATCCCAGTTACCAGATGTGGAAGTCTGTTCCCAGCTAATTTCATTAATTTCTCAAATTAAAATTTGTTTTTGAGATTCTTCTTATATAGTTCTATTGATTAGCTTTATTGAATATTATCATTAAAAAAAACCAACAACCCAAATAAGCACAGTACTTGAAGGCGTGGGAGGAAATGGTAAGAGCAGAGGTAGACATAGGAGACACAGGCAGAGCTGGTAGGTATGAAGAGCTGACATCTGGAGAGGTTAAACTATTTATTTTGAGAACCAACATATGTACAGGACTATTGGCTGTAGAAGTCTCTCCAGGCAAAAGCTAGACAGCTGCTAGAAAAGTGTATGTGGGAATAGAGATAGTCCCACATATTTTTGAGGTAAGGTAAATTGCCTCAAAGTGGAGTATTTAGGCCTTTTGTTATAACTAGAAAACTTGCTGAAATACATCTTGCTTTCTAGGTTAAGGATAAGCACTATTTTTGTCTAAGGCTGCCTAAATGCTCAGGTTTCTCTCTGTTACAGCAATCGAAGGCTGAGATATGCTGTGGGCTGGTTGGACCTCCCAGATCCTAACAAGGTAAGTACCTCAGTACTTAACCCAATTTGAGAATTGCTGAGTTCTGGGATTCCCTTCTGAGAACGTTAAGGCTCACATCTACATTCCAAAGAGGCGTCATAGGAAGACCCATCTGCAGCCAGGGTGTCACACGTATATCTGAGTAAAATCCAGGTAATTCTCCACACCAGCCCCTGTGGCTGAAGTGCTGGTGTTGTCTAGAGTGGATTTCTAGCAAGGGTTCATCTAATGGTATTCATGCCATTCCTGTACTGAACAGCTGAGTTTGGTTATACGTGGCAGTGAAAAGAACATGTTTAGTTTTCATACATCCCCTGGTTCAACAGATCATATTAATGCCATGTAAGCAGGGCATCTTTACGGTGATGCCCATGGTATGCATGCCAGCCAGAAGATTTATGAGAAGAACACAGGCATTTCTTTGCTCTGCCTTGACAAGTCTTGTTATTTTTCTCAGACACACTAAGTAAACTGTAAAACCTTGATTCATTTGTTATTCACACCCCACCTCTGAGTTATATGTACAACTTTTACAGGCAAAACAATGAACAGTACTAGTTCTTCCATAAATAACTTAGACTGTCTGTTGTTAAATGTCATATTTCCGATCTGTGTCATGCTCTGTGGCACCACATCCATCAGAGATTATGCTGCTGGAATGAATGTGGGCCACCTAAATATACCTGGATATTCTACGGACTATTTGTTCTTCTTCTGTCCCTGTCAAAACAAAATGAGGAGAGTGATATGTAGCTTCCAAAGAGGCAAAGTTACTGAATCGTAAACAGATTTTGCAGAGGCCTTTAAAAGCCTCTAAGCTAGTTAAATGGCATAGCAGGAACCTTAATTACCTAGCAGCTGTGGCAAATATTCTCCTTTCCCCAGTTACCTACAGCAGCCTTTTTGCAAACGCTATAAAACGCTCTTGGCAGACTACAACCAGGATGAGCTGTACCTGAGATGAAACAGTGGGAGTGTTACTTCTTTTTCTTAGGTGTTCCTAAACCTTCTCTGCTGCCACCCAGAGTCAAGGACAACAACTCATGATGAATCATGCAGGCAAGTGCCCCGAGGTGTTTGTTTTGCAGACTGTAGTTTCTTTTCTGAGGGGAGGACAGCATTGCCCCTTTACCTATAGGGAAAAAACCCTCACTACAGTTTGGTGGGAAGCACTCTGACATCCTATTAAAAGTCACCGTGGAAATGCTAAAATTGCTAGATGCTTAGCGTCTGCTGTCTCTCTGTTTTCTTCCCATTGTCATTTCTTAATTCCTTTGTAGATAAGGGCATCACATCTGCGGTTCTCTCATGATATTGTTGTACAAAGCTGTAGTATGTCATTAAATATATTGTGGTATGTGAAATAACAGGACTGTCTGACCTCACAGGATAGTGTTATTCATTTTTTAAGACCACTTTGTCTAAAGGAGCCCTGGGTACATCCTGTTCATAGACCATTATCTTACCCTGTTTGCTCTGCTACTTGTGTAACTTTTTTTGGTTCCTGATGTGCTGCAGTGAGTCATTTCTCACAGTTTGTGCCAAGCAGAAACACTATCAGAGGTCCAGTAAACTGGGGTCCACAGAGAATTAAAATTGTATTTATTTAGATTATATATGTGGAGTTTGGCCTTTAAAAATACTCCCCCAGCAAGAGAAGATTCTAGACTGACTCCACTATATAAGACCATTTAAGAAGTTAGGGACAGGAAAATCTGACATTATTCTGTGCCCTATGAAATATTGACCATACATACCTCCATAATTTGGTCTCTGTCTGTGCGTGCTGAAACAATGAAGTATTTCCTCCTTCAAGGTTTGTCTTGTAACCTTACAATAACACTTCACTAGCAGTTACTGGAACAAAACTGCTGACTTCCTTCTAGCTTTTCACGGCAGTGGGAGTGAACACAAGTGAGTGGTTTTAGTGCAGGTAGACCGAGTTTTGGTTCATTTTCTTTAAAAAGCTCTCACCCTCAGCTTTGGTCATGGTTGTAAAGTTCATTTTCACAGGTATGAGATTCTGTATGGATATAATTGTATACCTGCTCTTTTAGAGAGTCTTGCCGTCTATTTGGAAGAGAAGCTTCTTGCTGTACTTACTGCTTTGTATGTCAAGTGTATAGCGGATACACATATGGGACAGCCCAGCTGTGATTACAGCTCTGTTAAACTCAGGGTTGTTAGGGTATCTGTCTTACCTGTGCTGTATGTTGCAGACACGCCCTGCTTGCCTGCCTTTGCTCTTTCAAAGCTAAATAAGAAGTTTCCTATCACATTCAAATTTGCAAGAGTAAGGAGAGTTTTAAGTCAGAAGCAGGCATAAAATCTGAAGACTCCATAGTTAATATAAAGCAAAGCAGGGCAGTGCAAAATAATTTAGTCTCTGTTAGCCTCTAATTTTATTTTTCTTTCTATTCTTAATTGTTAAATTGCAAATACATGTAACCATCTGAAAGCTGATTGAAATGCAGCTCATGGAAACCTCACATTTATATGCCAAACAGTCTTCCTCCAGGTAGGCAGCTCTAATGTGATTGCCCTGAGGTGGAAGGGCCACCCACAATGCGGAAAGAGTAATTTATCTCTGTGCCAGCTCAGACTTTGCCCTCTCTGCTCAGACTGCCAATTCGGGTAGCAGTGAGTGTCTGCAGGGATGATAGTGGCCAAATAGAGGCACCTGCTCGTTGCCAGCTGTAAGCAGGCCTCCTGGGGAGCCCTAAGCTCAGACTGGTGTTGCTGCAGGGGTGAGGGGTTGGGGTCTTGTTGTATTTTATGTGTTCTTTAATGCTGGCATCTGTTGCTAGTTCTAGTTTGGCCTACATTTTCTGTGTGGTATTGAGATTGGGCTCAAGAACAGCTGTCTTGGTGAGGCCCATTATTCCCATATTCAGGGATGTAGAAATAGAAGAAGTGTAGCTCTCAGTACTTGTGGAAGCCCATTTCTTCTCAGCCATACTTGGCTAAGGAAGACTAGTAGTCTCAAACTGGGGTTTAGGGCTAAGAAAAGTAAACATCTTGGTTCCTGGGTTTTTCCAAGATTCTTGAAGGCTCAGAGCAATAAGAGGGAAGAAGCTGGTAGGGACTTGTGTGTGGTCAGTTTTTTGTCTGGCCCCTGTGCCCTGTAAGGATCTGGTTTTGGTTTGGGGTATGGATTTCTTCTGGGGGAAGAGAAGCCTTCAATGGCTCAGGGTATCTCAGTGGGCTTAACAGTGCCCAAACCAGCAGTTGCAACAATGCTGTCCTGGTGCCAGTACACACAAGCTGCAGTCAGAAGGGGTGAAGTCTGCAAAAGTATTCATTGCATTGTTGTAGCATCCTTCAACATTAAAACTTTTATTTTATAAAAATTCAGGTTGTCCAGCAGTCTGCAGTAGATCTTGCTAGTCAGTGACCCAAACCCAGAACTTTTTTCCTGAAACTATTGGATCTTTCCAGATATGTTTTCATACTGAACAGTATATATTATATTTCACAGTAAATATCAATATATTATATGTCATAGCAAACAGAACATCCTGGGAAAACAAATGGTTCAGTTCAAATGTGTATGTTTTGTTCTTCTTTATGGTTCTTGCTACTTGATACACTAAAAATATATGAAACCAAAAGTTTCTTCTACATAGACAGAGCAATCTTTCTATTGCTAAAACTCTTGGGACAGAATATACTGCTCTCCAGAAACCCCCTCCTTCACCTTTTTTTTCACAAAGTGAAAATGTATCAAAATCAGCCTGGATCCATGGACTGTATTAGCTTTGATGAAAGCACATTTTCTGAGAGAAACAAAGTACTGTCAGAGTATTGCTGTGCTAAGTACGTATCTGAGTGTGCATAGACACATACTAGCTAGGTTTTCAAATTCTAAGGGGATTAAGAGCTCAAATTCATTGAAATTCAGAAGTGAGACATTTTGCTTCCTTGGAGATGCAGGCCCTAGAGATTTAGATTCCTGGGGGATGCAACCAGGGGAACAGGCAGCTATTAACTTGAACAAAAACTAGGAAAATAGTATGTAGAAAAAAAGCTTGTTGTTAGTTCTGGACTGAAGAGGCAGGTGAAAGGACATCTGGGTGCTATTTATGTTTCCTTTTGGGCACCATGCAGGTGCATTTCTGTGATTTTATCAGTGGTTTAATATTACTTTTGACAGTGGTGGAATGGTTAAATCTGTAACAGGGACTACATTTGTATCCATCTTCTATATGTGTATCCCCTCCCACACAGTTTTCAGCTTTAGATACCCATATCATGAATTTAAATGTACTAAAAATACATTTGTTTTTCTTGGTTGCCTGCTGCAGGCTCCCCTGAGCTTTGCAGTCACACATTGATTCGACACAGAGCCTTTACAAACACTGCTCTACAAGAATAGTCATACAGTCACACCTAAAGTCTGATCTTTCAGGAGAGGGTTAGAAAAAGATCAAGATGACAAAGAGCCTTCCCTTAGTTTAACTTTCTTGCTTCTGGCAGATGGTGATTTAGTGCCTTACTGAGCCAGGGTTTGCATCCGTATCGCATTTGCTAGTCACCGATGAACCTAATCTTCAATAATTTGTCTAATCAAACAAATTGGAGCCTTTTTAGGCTTTTGCTCTGTGTACCATTCTCTGGCAAGTTCCACAATGGATGATGGATTTTGGCAATATTTTGTCCAAGAGTTCTACCTTTCTGGGAGCCTTATGGTTGATTTGTTCTGCAGGCAGAGGTGTCTTCCCAGCAGCACTGTAGGTCCAGGGAAATCTGAAGGTGCAGAAATGCTCTGTCCACAGCATGGGAGTATCACAGCGCTGTACCTGCAGCAAAGACTTCTCTCCCATGGCCTCCTCCATCAGTCATTCACCCTGCAACTTCAGCAACTGGTGAGTAAGGTACGCTATAAATATGCAGCAGGACCTAACTGGCAGCTCCCTCTGTAGGAAAAATAACATAGAAACTGCCCAAGCCATCCCTCTCCTGTGCATGTGAGGAAAGCTAGCCCAGGAGCGCTGCCCACCTTTAGCAGGCAGGTGTTGACAAGGAAGACGCTGTCTGCAGGGTTAGGTGTAGGAAACACTTGTCTCTCCCAAAATCTTAGCAGGTAATGATAAAACACATGGATGAATGAGGGAGCCAAAAATCTCCACTGTTGGCCAGTCTGGAGCTGCTTCCTGGCTCTGCACTTGCTTTCCGTGTCTCCAGCCTGTTCTGGAGCTAGCAGTGGTTTGCCTGCCCACAGCCTAGCTGGATGCTGCAGGACATGCAGCGTCCCACCGAGTTACATGGGACCCATGCACTGATAACGGCCACGAGGTCCTGCTGTAGCAGGAATGCTCCCCAGCCCTGAGAAGGCCCCGAGGGGCTGACAGCACCGTCAGGTCATCCTGTAGCAAGCTCTGCAGCAGCAGCAACTCTGTGGGAGACCTGAGTGTACCAGATGGGGTACCAGGGCTCTCCTTGCCAGCACCAGCGCCAAGGGGCTCTGCCTGGAAGAAAGTGTAGCTTCTGTCACATTTTAAAGTATTGCAATGAAAAACTCTGTGATTAATTTCTTAGACATTTCTTTCAGGCAGGCTGTTAATTAAACCCCAGAAAACTCCATTAACACATCCTTACAGGGTAAGTGCTTTGCCTTACTCAGGTCAACTTTAAACAGCTAAGCCACTACATAAACATCTCCTTGACTGGAAGCTAAGTAGTACCACTGATGAGGTTTCTTTTAAGCAGCCGAAAGCTTTGTATGTGAATAACTTCCCAGGGTGACTGGTTTTTAACTCTATAATTATTGGATGATATATATTTTACAGCAGCGCAAACACCTTTTATGTGCAGAAAATCAAAGCAAGCAATGAAAAAAAGCTACTTTATTAACTTGGTGGCTAAACACACTTTTTAGTATGTTGGTCAAAAATTACCTCTGAATGTAAAAGGCACTTTCAGAAATTCATGCAGTTTAAGAATTAAATGATCAGGCCAGCTCTTGAAAACAGCATTTTGATTTCTGCATTTTTAGTATGCAATTTTGTGTACTTTTTGCTATCATAAATGTGATTGTTTCCTTTAAATGAGGAACAATCACATTTATTGTTTGTTGCTAATGCTGGATTTTCTTCCTTTGTAGTTTCTTAAGATTATCAAAGCTAAAATAAAGAGGAAACTCTTTTAGTTCTCAAAAATAGAGGACTGGCTTAGAGAGTTAAAGACAGAGTTTAGAATGAAAATGGTTTTTTACTTTACCTTCTCTCTGACTTGTGTGCTTGGACAACACAAATACAGTACTAAAAGCAGAACCTATGAGAGTTCACTGATTCCTCCAAATCTTGTCTCAGAAATGAGTCCCACAGCTCCCTGCAAAGTAATTGGTCTAATTAGGTAGTAGGAAGGAGCTTCTTTAAATTCCTCAGAAATTAAGACTTGTCATCCGCTTAACATCTTAGCATCTGCTACTGCCTCTTGCACATTTCTCTACTACATCAGTCTGAAGGACACTTTCCTGGACCTTTCAGAGAGAAAAACAAAACAAAAAAAACATAAGTTGAAACAGAGAAGAAATTGGCACTTTCTTCAGTGAGATGAAGCATGTAAGGCATTTCACTCCCTCCTTATTTCTCAGTTTGGTGCACGTTTGTCTGGGTGAGTACAATAATCAATTTGTTAAATAAAAATGCAGGAGGATACAAGCAGAACCTTAAATCTTGTATTAATCCTTACTGATGTGGTAATGTTGTCCTGAAATATTTTCCTTGGCAACTGATCCCCGTGCAAATGTTACCCACTGTGTTTATAATTCAGAGTTTGGTTTCAAAGGGGCTGTTTGAAGCTCTAACAGTCAGTCAGTAGAATGACAACTAATTTGTTGTTTCTTTTTTTTTTTTCGTTTTAACTTTGCTGTTGTCTGGCAGGAAGTAAGTAACTATTTAATTCTGGGTAATTGCTCTTGCTGTGGGCATAATTTTAAGACACAATGTGGTTAGAATATTGGGTAAGGTACTGAGGCACTGGGAAAGTTTCAGACTTACATGTGTAGAGTATGTGAGAGGTGTACAGTCGCTGGAAGCTGAAAAGGTTAATTTTGCAATGAAGTTATCTGTGACAGATGTTTTAAAGAAACCCTGCTACTTGGTTTGTTTGGTTTTGGTTCGGGTTTTTTTTCCATATACTCTTCCTCTATTTGATGCTGTGTGAACACTGGCACAGCAACAGGTAGATGTAATATTATTTAAAATACCTGTACCGATATAGTTCTGAAAGTCCATTGCAGCAAATGTGTAAGTTACACACTCATAGTATTTCCCAAACAGCTCATGTTTACTGAAAGTCAGGTAACAAAGCCAAATAACTGCCACCTACAAAATGCTTTTATTTGGCTTCTGTTTTGTTTTAATTGCAGTTCAGGCAAATTATGCCCCCTATTTCTTTGATAACGGAGCCAGAAGCACAAATGGGAACATGGCACTTCTCAGCCTTTCGGAGGACACACCTGTTGGTCAGTATTAAAATTAGTATGTTTAAATTGTGACACTGGACCTTCTTGCTCTTTTGATTAGCAACATGTATTTTGTTGTCGGTTGTTGTTGTCTACTGTGGTCTTATGTGCTTTTCTCTCAAGCTTTTAGTTGGCCCAAATTTAAAATGACATGTTTGAGTTGTGGCTGCAATTTAAAACACAAATTTTAGCTCCCCTTTTCTTGGTCCACCATTTTTTTCACAGCATTAGAGCACAGATATTGCTGGGATCAGAAATAATGGGGGTGAGGGGCTTCTTACCAATCTGTAGATGCTTATGAGAAGAAAGCCTAGTTGTTAGTGATTTTATCAGCCTTGGTAAAAGCAACCTGTACATTGAAAAGTAATAGAGGCATGATTTTCTTTGAACAGTTATCGCATTTTTCATGTTTATGGTACAAATGTTATGGTAGAAAATGTTTCTACTCAGAGTGAAAATTGCTTTGTCCAAATAACTGATGTTTTCCAAAAAGGGTTTGTTTTATTGAAAATTCAAAAGTTGGTACATTTTTCAGCTTTCAGCATTTTGAGGCAGGTCTGTTTATGCTTCTTTTAACTGTAGTTGCATTAAGAAAAATTCAACAGGAACAAAAAGGCCATTTATAATCAATATTTTTCATGGAGAAAGAATAATTTCTGAACACTAAAGAAAAATTTATGCAAAATCTATTACAGTGATGAACACTGCCTTTTCTTCAAACATTGTACTGAGGCTTGGTCTAGGATTTTTTTCCTGTTTGTCTGTAGCTTTTACAGTCTAAATCAGGAGAGTGCTTAGCTATTGCAAACAGTACTATCTGTTACCTGCCTCATGCATAGAGGAGGAAGATGGCTGTGCAGAGGTTGCACAGCAGGGGGGGGGGAAGAAGGATCCAGAGGGCACAGCGCCATCTGGAAGACCAACACTGCTGGCCTTGCCTTCCTAAACATGACCGGGGTCACTCATTGCTTTGGGAAGCAGCAGCTACCTGGCGTTTGCTCAGTCTCCATTCCTGGCCCAGTGGTGTCAGTGTCAGCCAAGATCCACACTGGGCATGCTAAACGATGAGGATAAGGTAACTGGGAAGCAGTGACTTCTTTGCCTGCTCAACCAGAGAAGAGGGGAAGGTGGGACATAGCATAGAGGTGACGCATCTAGCCAAAGAACTTAAAAAGAGCTTGCTTATGATGCAGAAGGGATTTGCTAAAAGCTTGGTCAAGCTTAAGGTGGAAACCTCAGCTGAAGGCCAACAGTAATGTAGTGGCACTTGCAAAAGCCAGAAACAGATCAAGGAGCTGCAGTTTTTGCTGTGCTTCTGTCTGGATTCATGCAGAAACCACACTTGCTCAGCCTTGGTGATCCAGACAGCTCTGCTGCCTGTTGGAGTAAGATTAGCCACTGGAATCACTCACCTACTGGTGTACATAAGGCTTGTAATGCCAGATAGCCACAGAATGGGACCCCGACTCAGTTTGTTTGGGGTGGTGTTTGCCAACTCCACCACTCAAACCGCATGCAGTACAAGTTGCTTATTATCAAACTCCCATCCCCTGGTGTGGTGCTAGACTGCAGACATTTACAGAGCATCAGCCTCTCCCTGCCACTGCTGGGAGCCTCCAGCCACCTGCATGAGGTTGGGGAGCTAAAGATGGCACAGAGCTGCAACATAGTCAGAAATGTCCTTCCTATCAAGAGCACAGCACCACGTGTACTCTTGGATGACAGCCCTCCCTGCAGCAGCAAAGTGCAGTAATTTGCCAGCACTGAGACACAGTGCATCTGCTGTGGGGCTCCAGGTAGAGAAAAATGGACAGCATGCATGCTTCAACAGATAAACAGGAGTGTGAGGGATCAGAGCCCAGGTTACTGTTCTAACTAGCCCAAGGAAGGATTATGACAAATACATGGTGGCTTTTGCATGTGCTTTTGTAACATTAGCAGCCAGATTAGGTACATAGGGGTCCCTGGGGAGTTTATAATTTGGTTGCAGCAGTGAAAAAGCTCAAGCTGCTCCGTCTGCAGTGCTGTTGTGCCTCATGCTTGCTGGCTTCATCCAGAGTGTGTTTACATTGCCTGGCTTGAAATTCTAATTTGCTATATAAATGTGCTTTAAAAGACATGAGAAGAAGCTTCTGAGTTAAAATTCCAAAGGTGCCACCAAAAGCATTTCTCTGAGGTGAAATCTTAGAGAGTGTTGAGCTTAGGCTTTTCCAAAGGGCCTAGAGAAACTCTTGGGAAAGGGAGATAACACCTTACTTTTGAGAACTGCAAATGTGGTAGCTTTGCCATGCAGCTGCCAGTGCTTCTTTGGGCTAATTCCTGGAAGACTGACTAAAATTCTTAAGTATTGCAGGGTCCTCTCTCGTGAAAGCACTTTAGGAAATTCCACTGGAATATGGCTGCTTGCGGTTCGTTCATTGAAAATTGCTGTGGCTACCCCCAACCCGCGTTAGCACACTCACCCCTTGAAGATGCTTTGGCTTTGCTCTCTCAAGGGGAGGGCACAAACACTTCAGTGCTGCAGTGCTGGGTGTTCATTCAGCTTTATGCAGGGTGAAGGGACCAGTGTTCACATCAGACCACAGTCAGAGTTTCGTGCCAGAGCTTAGTGAGGGCTCACACACCGCCTGTGCTAAATGGCTACCAGGCTCACCATTTTCTGTGGCCCCAGTGATGGGTCTCACACCACAGAGGAGGTTGTTACTCTTCATCACTCTGCACCGATCTTCTCCAGAAGGAGGAGGAGACATCTGGTCCCCCAAATCCATGTGCAGTCTCAAGCATCCACACTCCAGCAGTCATCTTTCAGTTTGAGGACGATGATCAGTGGCAAAACGGGGATTAAAACTTACATATGTTTGATTCTGGATGGCTTCACTCAGGTTTAGGTGCTGCAAATTAGGCAGGTTGCCATTAGGTCCTCACTGTGCTTACATAAAATATGGAGTTGTAGGCAGGATGCTTTTCTTGGCAGCAGCAATGCCATGGACAGCAGCTTTAATAAAACTCCAGGAATTTTACAGTCTTTGGCCTCGCTGAGATTACAAGCAGTTGGCAAAATGGTGTGTGCTAGTTATATTCCCAGGCATCTGTAGGCAAGGGACATGGAGCATTCTGAGCACTGAAAGGAGATGATGGATTCTCTTTGTGACTATAGAAAGAGAAATTGCAGGGCTGAGGCTGCATGAATGCATCAAATTCAAGAAAATCACATTATCTTGCTTATATCATTCTTAACTTGACCTTCTTTTCCCTTATGCAATTTTGCTTACTTGCAGATAGTTGTAATCTACCAAGTTACATACACTGTGACAGAAGCTATCACAAAAAGAGCAAATACTATTTCTGTATGAAAGCTTTAAAGTGTCTGCAGATTCCCAGATCCCATTTATTGCTGCAGAGCATGAGACCCCCTGAGGTAAGAAAGGCCAGAACAGCAGTCTTTTCCAGTGCCAGATTTAAGAAGAATGGGAAAAGTTATGAACTGAAGTAGCAGTTGCAGTTTGTGTGGCTGTTAACAGGGTAGGTGGGCGATTAGCACTTTGCAAAGAGTTGCCTGTGTACATACAGAAAGTACATGTGCTTGTCCTAATCAAGGTCTTAAGGCACGTGTGAGATGCTATTTCGGGTTGTTTCTTTCATCTTGCCTCATTAATCCCTGTAAGCCTTCATAGTGAGGACAGAGTGGGACTGAGAAGAGCTGCAAAGCCAAGGGATTGAAGCATACTGTGAGAAGGCCTAAGTTCATTACTCTCTCAAAGCCCAGCCATCATCGATGCCCTGAAGATCTTTGCAATCTCATCCTTGTGGTTTTCCTGTCTTTTTTCCCCATGTGCCCAAGTGTGCTCTCCCCACCATGAAAAGCCAGTTTGCAGTGGTAGTTCTTTGATCAAAGCTACAGCTGCCAGCTACCTACCACGGCCTGAGCATTTCAGGTCACGTCACCCTTCAAGCTTCAGCTGCTGTTCCTACACACTCCTGGTCTCATTCCTTCCCATCGTTCTTAGCTGGCTGTGGAGAGCCCTCTTGTCCCCTCTGGTACCCATCATTTCTATCACCCTGATCCAGCTGATTCTCCCCATACTGGTGAGAATCCCTGTTAAAGTGTTTCCTGGTCCTTCCTTCAGCTCTCAGCAATCCCATCCTGGCACTCAGCCATCTCTCTGTATGTGGTTCTGTATTTCATCCTTCACAGACATAATAGCTGAACCTGTAAGGATTTTTTTTTCTACCCACCGTTTCCAGCCCTCCTTGTCACCAAGAGAATCTGAGTGAAAGAATTGACACACATTTTTTTTATCCTCAAAAATGATAATTCCTTTCTGACTAGAAAGGACACAGACCTGGACGATCTATCCCAAGCTGTGCCTTGAAACCTAGAGACCCACCGACACGTCACATTCAGATGGTTCCAGAAAGGCCAAAATTCTGAAGGTGCGAAAATATTCAGCTTTTTGCAGAAACTAAAGTCTTCCTCCTAGGAAAACTAGAAGCTTCCAGAATAAAACTGTAAACCACAGCCTGCCTTCTGCACCACTGCAGCAGAGCTGATGCTGCACAAAATAGAGCTGCGCTGCAAAGCAGAGCACTACACAGACATGTGCAGGTGACTCACGTGTTACAGCAATCACTTTTGTATTTATTCTTCTAACAGAAACTGCAGATACATCTGAAAATTACCCCCAGATGGGTTGTTCCCAGTTGGTTGCTGTGGGTGCCATGGGGACACGTTGCTGTTGTGGTGGTTTGGGCCTCATGCTGAGCACTTGGTGCCATACTCTCTTGCAGCTGTAGGGCCTGTTTCGCAGCAGGCCCAAAAGCCGTGGCTTTTGGGGTGCCGATCCTGGCTGTGTCTCTGCTTTGAAGGCAGCACAGTGCGCTGGGGTGCAGAACTCGCCTGACTGTGTGCAGGAAGCAGCAGTAGCTGGTAGTGAATGGGAAAGGAGATGTTCTTGGTGTGTGGTCCATGTCCTCCAAGAGCCTGAGCTCCTTTTTCCTGGGGTGAGCTTGGAGTGTAAACCAGCTGTATGTAGGTTTTGTGTTAACTGTCCATCACCTTTCCTGGTGGGGAAATGGGTCTTTGGCTGAGACAGGTGCAGAGCAGGCATAGAGACCTAGGCAAGATGGTATTTGCTGTGACACTGGCAACAGAGGTGCCCTGTCCTGGGAGCACAGCCATGGATGTCCCTCTCAGCCTCTTGTTAACAGATGCAGCTGTAGTGACAAAAGACAGTGGGGAACTTAGCATGAGTCCAAAATGTGCTTGGCTTGTTTGGCTTGGCAGGGAGGGGATTTGATTGCTGAGATGAGATGAGCAGAGATGAGAGCATGTCTTCAGTGAGAGGACAAAACCAGCCCCCAGAGAAAAACGGAGCAAAACCAGCCTGGCTGTGAATAAATATAAGTCAGAAATGAAGTAAAATGGAGCAATGGCATCATGGAACAGCCATTCATCTTCAGTGGCAGGAGCAAAGAGCAAATGATTTTTAAGATGGAATAGGAAAACAGAGTGAAAGCCTGGAATGTCTCCTGGGAAGCAGCTGTAGCAGGGAGCAGCATGCAGCGTGCAGCAACCTGGGGCTTTTCTATCCTAGCCTGCTGTGCCATCCCTCAGATCCTCAGAGCATCCAGCTCTTCTGACCAGGGCCCTTACGCAGCATTTGCTAACTCCTTGGGTAAAGATTCTTCAATTCCCTTATCTTTCTGACAGGGAGAAGCTGTTTACTTGGTCCTCACTGATAAGATTTTAGCTGGTTTTCTCATTTATTTTCTTTTCAGCAAATAGAGACAGCACGCTGAGAGGAGGTTTTTAATTGGCATTAACACTGTGCTGAGAAGTGTTCTCAGGGGTGTTAATGATACAGAGAGTACTGCGCAATTCAGAGAAGAAAAAAAGAATTATAATGAGCTAGAGAAAGAAATTTTGATCCACAATCCAATTTAAAGTGCACACAAATGTTCTGTGTTATGAAAAATGAAGAAGTATCAGTTTTAGCTAGGAAGCAGACAGTCCAGTGTAAATGGATCAATGACATCCTTCATTACTTCCTCAGAAACCTCAGCAATCTGAGTCTGTACTGATATCAATGTTTCTTCTCACATTCAGCAGCAAGAAAATTCCTGTTTTCCTTAATAAGAAAATTCCTAAAAAATGTGGGAGAGAAAATTGTGAGATTGGAAGAAGCAGCCCAGGTTCAAACATACTCACCTAAACTTTCATAGTCTATTCTTCTTTAGCACATGTTCTGTCCATAATACCAGTGTGGGTACTTCAGAGCAGCCCCAGTCACAGCACTAGAGTTTGTGCCTGGTTGTTTCCTGCAGGCTCCAATAGACTCCAGATGTAGGTCGTGATGACCACCCTGTTTCTCCACTGCACATGAGCTAGAAACAGGCAGAACAGCCTGAGGTGTATAAAGTGGAAGGGACAGGAAAAGTGAAGAAAATAAAGGACATAAAAACAGCTAGTAATAAAAACTTCTAGTGGCCAAAAAAAAGCTGAAGAAAAGCACTGTATTGATAATGATGCCAGTGAAGTGCTGGCAGTCAACACCTGAATTCTCCATTTGGCCCCAGTTGTGATATTAAGACAAAACTTTTGAAAAACAAGAATAAATGCAGTCAGTGCTGGTGCTGCAGAACCTTCAACAGGCTTGAAATTGCTGTCTGTTATGTAGACAGCTATATCAGGATGCAGGTGTCCTTTCAGGACACTATATTAGCCTAGCTTATTCTTCTCCTAGCATTTCTTTGTACTTACACAGGTCAGTTCCAATGAGAGGAGTGTCTCATCATACCACCCATTGTCTTTCCCTAATAATCTCAGCGGATCTCAGTTACAGATGAGTTGTTGTTTTCTACTCTGTTTTGGAGGAAAGATTCCAAGAAAAATGTGGAAAGTGTTTTGTAGTTTTGTGAACCTGTTCTGCAGATCTTGGACAGTTGTTGGATGGCTGAGCCAGCTTATAACAGGGTCTGTGATTTGAGCTCCTGTGAGCCCACTGGATTTTGCAATGTGAACATGTTTCTGTACAAAGTCACCCAAATATTGCCCTGGTAATTATCATAAGAAAGGTTACTCATAAGCGAGCACAGATCCCACATGGCTTGCCATAATCTGCTGTTACGCAAAGACGACAACCATGTTTTCTAACTATCACCTCTGAAGCCTGGGTGTTGCACATCTGTTAAGCCCACTGATCTGTTTGCTTCACATTTTGCATGCCAAGGAATAAGGAGATGAGGAATGAAAGGCTGCATTGCAAAACTGAGGAAACATTCAAAAATCTGACCTGTTAGTGCTGTGTGCAGGACCTTAACCAAAGCTTCACAGAATCTTATGGACCAGGTCAGTGAAAAACTCCACTGCTACTGCAGAGAGCAAGAGAAAAAGGTTATGACTTTTGAGTACAAAATTAAAAATCTTGCAAACTCAGGGCCAGAGTAGACTGGAGTCAAAACGGGAGTCCTCTGGGTTCCCTTTAACAGTGTTCTTCCTTCACTTTTTGCTATCTTTCTTATCAGGGATCCTTCCATCATATCTTTGAGTCCCATGCACAAGCAAAACTCACTACTAACCACTGAGTCACTTGGCTACAGTATTTCCAGTGCAGAGAACTTGGATGTAAAACAGAGTTTCTGTTCCAAACCTCTGCAACTTGAATATCTCAGGTAACATACACAAGGCACAGTGCATTGGAAGGAAACAACAACATTGGTTTATAGTTCAGGCTTATTTAACTGATATTTGTAAGGTGCTTGAAGTTCTATTTAGATGAAGATATTCATGCACAGTAAAATGACAGGCATGTAAGTTTAAAAAATATAATACTGATAAACCCTTCCTGTGTTTTGAAACCGTGGGTGTTATAACTCCCCCAGGAAGCAGCGCTTGTGACAAACAAAGTCAGTTTGCTGGAAAAACTGGCACCAACTTCTCAAATGTCAAAAAATAGCAACAGCAATCTCTCTTTCCTCAGCCTGTGAAAGAAATACATTGATGAGTTTGGAGAATTTATTCATTGGCATGAGCATGAGTGGGTGTGTCAAGTAGAGAATTTAATGAGAGGGAGCTAATGAGGGGGAGTGAAGCAGGAAAGAAGTCTCTTGCCTTAATGAGTTCTGAAAGTGGAGAAGTCTTCAAATGTCCTTGCATCTCCTGGGCTTCAGAGCCTAGGTCCACTCCTGTGGGAGTGCTGCTTTCCATTGCCAGATCCTTTGCCTGCTACTTCACTATTTCATTGTTTCCATAGAAAATGGGAATGGGAGGGAGGGCCTCTGGTACTGCTGAAATTGTCACCCAGTCCTATAACAGCACCACTTCTGACTCATCTGGGCTGAGAGTTAGTCAAGAGCTTGTAATCTGTGTAAACACAATGATGTGAACAGTGTTGATCTAGGCACAGAAAGGCCCTGAAGTGAAGGCAACCAGCACAGATAAACTTGGTTTAACCAGTAGCCTAAAAACTGTCAATCAGGAGTATTGAACTGTCTTCTTATCCACATATCCTATCATATATATCATATATATATCCATATATATGAGTAAGTGGGTTTGTTTCAGAAAAGCTTTGCCTGCTGCAATGTAGCTAAGTTCCTAAAGAACAGACCTATGAAATACTGAGTGAAGTAACCACAGCAAAACACTGTTAAATGCAAATTTTTCAGGTACCCATGTGTACACTCTTAATGGAACTGATCCAGAAGGAGATCCCGTGACATACAGCCTGGCCTATGAAGCTGGATCAAGACGCTACTTTTCTGTTGACAAGAACCTTGGAAATGTTACACTGATTGAGGAGCTTGACAGAGAGGTAGAGTGAAATGGCACCACTCCCTGTGTTCATGGAATGTCCTTCGTCTGCAGCAGATGTCCTTGATCTGCAGCTTTGAGGGACACCACCAACTTATTTTTCTCAAAACATGTAATATGCTTGGTAGTTCTGAGACATTATGCTTCACTCATTAAAGTTTTTTTCAGTTGGCTTGTGCCACTGACACTGCTATCAAAATTTTCAGCAGCTGTCTGTCCAGCTTTTTCTGAAAGGGAAGTTTACTGTTTATTCCTATCTTCTCCCAGCTGCCCTCCGTCAAGCACTTAAGGGTGGTTAGAGTCCTCTCATCCTCAGACAGGGCCTCTCCCATCATTAGTGCTCTGCGATACTTCTCTAGTTATACCATAGCCCTTCAGCCCATGTAACCATGTAGGGTAAAGATGATCCCAGCAACAGTGGACTAAAGGCAGCCTTATTCTGGGAACACAGACGGTGAACCCTTCACTTTTCCTTCACAAGGAAGGGTACACAGTTCTTATTATACCCTTCAAAATTCTGTGTACTGAAACAAAATAATTTTGAGCCAGTTGTACCTTTTTATGGAGTATTTCTTGAAAAAGATGACCGATTTTCCCTAGCACTTTATAGGACAACAGGGATTCCCAGCCCAACCAATTCCTGACAGTAGCCACAGAAAGTCCAAGGAGCCTCACAGCTGAAGCCTTTGAGGGGTCTTCCTAGCCTCTGCTGTGATTGCTTTGTGATATTAATTGTTACTTCCACCTGCCTGCTGAGAAACCCTTAAATCTGCAGTCCCTTTTTCAATCATGGCAAACACTATCTCTCTAACAAAGGAATTTTCTTGGATTACAGAAGGAAGATGAGATTGAAGTTATTGTCAGTATTTCAGATGGCCTGAGTACAGTGAGTATTTAATTATGCTGTAGCTTGTAAAACTGTCTGTCTCCATATGCCTCCTCCTATTAAATTGCCTTACAGGGACTATCTCATTTTATCAGAAAACATAATCTCATTAGAGTCTTACCTTCTCTTTCAAGAGCCACTGAACTCCCAATAACTCAAGTCTCACTCCAGCTTCTTGCTCGGATATTTGAGGATAATTACAATGTAGTGTGAGCTGAAAGCATGACTTACTTAGTGTCCTGCAGAATTACAGCAGTTTCCTCTGAAGTTTCACTTTCAGATCAGCAGTATTCGTACCTAAGAAAGATCTTGCAGGCTCTTTGGAGAAATGCATGTCATTATAGGAACTAGCATTGGACACCCAAGAACTGACTGTCCCTTCATCTCCTCAATGTTTCTCTAGCATGACATGAAGAAGATTTGCTTAGACAAAGGTGTGAGGGGGGGTTTCTTGTCTGCTGCTGAATAAAGCTTCGATCACATCTAATCTGAGGATTTATCTGAGGCATTGCACAAACATCCAATCCTATTTCTACTTGGCATTTTCAGTTTATGGACAGATGCTGTTACAGCCAGGATATTAGACCTGATCTTCATCACTAGATGTGCCACAAAAGTAGGATGCTTTTACTATAGATAAGACTGGGTAACTCTAGAGCCCTTCCTCATCTCACACAAAGTAACTGAGATTATTGCAACAAATTTTTGGGATGTGCTGGTGTCCTACAGCCACAACTGCCCTGGCAACCTCTGTAATTAGGAAATAGTGGGATCAAATAGTGGGAAACTAAATGGGATTTCCTGTATCTTTTTTTGTGTACTCAGTTTTGGTAGTGTAGTGCAAAGATATTCTATTACAACATAATTTTTCATTGATTTTGACTTAGTAGGCATATGAACAGGTACATGTTGAAAATCAGCTTGAGTCCTAATATGCTCTTCATATTCTACTCCAGGTATCTGAAAAAGTCAGGATCCTTGTAATGGATGCTAATGATGAGAGCCCAGAGTTCATCAATGCACCTTACATAGTCCAGGTCCCAGAGGTTGGTGAAGTTACTTTGCAAAATGGAAGTATATATCAATATGATGTAAAGAGGAGTTAGTATTTTTTCAGTAAAATAACAAGGTGTGCAGGACTAACTTGCATTCTTTTGGTATAGGGTCTGGGTAGATATTTAATATTCACTTCAAACTTAGGGAATAAGTCTGTATGTACTTGAAAGTGTGCTATTCTGTGGGTAAGCTCTGAGTTGCTGGGAGCTTTTAGACGACTTCAGAGGGAATAAGATGTGTCCTGTCTTAGCTGAAATTTTTTGTCATTTTTATTCCAAAAAGTGTTTCTTCCTTCTTGTTCTTCTCCAGAATCCTCCATTTTTAATCTCTTGCCTCTTTTCCTACTGCTTTTTGGTTCCCTCAATGCATTTATACTTTTCCTACCCAACACTCTCTTTTTCTGCTTCCTTGCATGTTCATTTTTTGCTTCTTCTAACTTACCTTGTTTTCCACTCTTGTGTAACTCTGATAACTCTTTCTGGTCACAGAACACTCCCTCTGGCAGCAGTATTTTAAAGACTGAGGCAGTGGACAAAGACACAGGCTCTGGAGGAAGTATCACCTACTTCTTGCAGGTAAGGTATTACCTGTACCTTCAAAAATCATCTCTCATATACTGAGATCTCAGAAATCATGTTAAAAAAAAAAAAAGATTTTGAGGATTGAGACTGCTACTAGTCCATATAGGGCCAGTTTCGTACTTTTAACGTTTCATTTGTATATTGCAAAATTCACCAAAACACCACTCTATTGACAATAATCTATGCATGCAAACTTCCTGCTTTTGTTTAGGCCAGTAGAAGTTTGAAATTCTAAGGGGCAAAACCTTTTTTCTTTTTCCCTTTCCCCTCATCCTTTTTTCTCTTAAGCCTCCCTACCTCTTTCCATGCAATGGGCTGTGTTAACCAAAGTTTAAGATTGCACAATGAAATACAAAAAGATTAAAAAAATCTACATTGCAGGTAACTAATTTATTCTGAATAATGATAGACTTGTGGTTGGTTCATGAATTGTTCATAAACACACAGAGGTGAAATCCATCAGATACATTATTCACCCAAGCCATATCATTATTCTAGTCTTTTCCCTTAGCAGATGAAATTAAAGATGAGTCCCTTTGGCAATGTTATTTCCATACCTGTAATCTCTCTCTGTTTCTTCATTTGTTTTCTTCTAGAACATCCATGCTAATAAGTTTACAATAGACCGTCACAGTGGTGTTCTGCGCATCAAAACAGGGGTCACCCTGGACTATGAGAAATCACGAACACATTTTATTGTTGTCGTAGCCAAGGTATAAAGCTTTTATCAAACTAGAGGAGGTAGGGGGCTGTATCTGAGTAGGAGTGATTAGTTCAAATACAAGTGTGACTTAAAGGGTTGCTGAAACATGAAGCATAATACTGAGACAGCAGGGTCGCTCCCTCTGTAACATCTGGAGGTGCGCGGGGTAACAGGGAAAAGTGAGGAGGGAAAGATGACTGGCGTGTGCTGCTGAACAACATCTGGAGGCATTTGGCACAGGGTTTCCTACATTTCACTCATGCCCCAGTGCCAGGATAGTGCGCCCCACTGCAGAAAGTCACCTGTGCATTTCGAGATTCACCTAGAAATGAAGGGTTGGTGTATGCAGTCCTAACTCCAAAAGGCATCAGCATTTGGTCAAATGGAGGAGTTCAGGGCTCTGCTATGAGGCCCAAGGCATGGACTTACTTCAACAAGTGCAAACCCCCGGCAGGCAGGTTGTTCAGGTCACAATCATTAGCCACAGTAAGATACAGGACACAGCTAGACCCAGTGCAGCACAAGTCACCGACTTCTCTTCTGGAAACATCTGTGGATGTTTTTTAATTTTACTTCTCTGCTGCCTTATGGCAGGAGCTTATTCAAATCCTGCAAATATTGCTGCACATCCCTTCTTGCCACTGTCATTCTCAGCAGTGCTGTGCCTGTGGCTCAGCTGAGGATTCATAACAGGCATTAAAAGTTTATGGATTCTGTGAGGACCTGTCACACAGACAGACTTGCAGGGGTGAAAAAAAGGATGATTTTGCTTTTACTTATGAGGACTTTGAGTTTCTTATATTTTATGAAAAATGTACAGATCTTTCTATGTATTTATTTAGACAGGATTCTTTTGGGGAGAAGTAACAAAATTTGGCTTAAATACTGCCTTTGAGGCAGGAAGGAAGGGAAAAAAATAGTACATATTTTCAAAAAAATGGAAATTTTAGAAGTGGTACAGCAGACATGCTGAACAAGTCACACTTTTATACAGCAGCATGACTACTGACCTCCAGTTGGTGCTCTGAGACTGAGGGTGTTAAAAGCTTCTGAAATTGCAACTCATCTTTCTAATTGGCTCTGTGTACCAGTAGCACAGCGTTGATTGTAGTCAAGCCCCCAGAGACTGTTTATACACTTTGGCTATCCAACAGTTCTTGGCTGCACAGCTCCTCCATGCTTTCACTTTATCACATAAGAGGCCCTAGGAGACTTTGATCATGTGCACTATTTAATTTCCCTCTAGAAATGCATTAGCTTGCTTCTGTGCATTGTCTTGTGTTTATGACAAGGCTATATGTAGGATGGAAAGGTGTAGACCTTAGCCACTAACTTTTTATATCAGTTTCTAACATTCTTTTTTCTCTGAAAAAAAAAAAAAAACCGACCCTTGATTTTCCTGTCCCCTGTGTTGTTGATAAAAGATCATATATGACTGCATATATTGGCACAACCATTTTTAATATAAGAAATTACTTCTGAGACGCTGCAGGCTGTCTTCCTCATCAGAGAGGGAGCAGAAAAATGGAAAAGGGAAGGGAATAGAGCAGCAGAGATTAATCTGTGTATTGAGAGAGCAAAGGGATTCCTGGCACTGAGCTTCTGAAGGCTCATGAAGTGCATGCAGCTGATTCGCAGACATGTTTCAGCAGAGGGATCTGATGCTGACTTCCCTTCTAGGATGGTGGTGGGAAACTCCGGGGAGACAACAAAATCTTTTCAGCCACAACAACAGTTACTGTCAATGTGGAGGACGTTCAGGATACTCCTCCCATGTTCATTGGGACTCCCTACTATGGATACGTTTATGAGGATACACTCGCAGTAAGTGCTGGGGTTTGCCTGTAAGAGAACAAATGCAATCTGTCACATCTCAGTGATAATGGCCCTATGGTTTCTAGCACAGGCTTTCTTGGAAACTGGGACCTAAACTCTGGCTTGACTCCTAGGTGCAATGAGGTGACCAAATCTCGGACTTGTTCTTATTTATATTCATTGCAAATTTGCCATGAAAGGCTTTCTGTTGCTGTTATGAAAATAAAAAAGAATTCTGCCCATTTATGTTGGTCTAAGCCCAGACAGTGGCTAAGAGCTCTTCCATAGCTGAGACCTTGGCTGAAGGCTTAAATGGATTGCCAGCTACCTCACCCAAACACATCATGCTAGCAGCTTTTGTGTGTTTGTGTGCTGTGTGGTTTCACAGTGCTTTGATTTAATAGTTGATCAGTCCAGTACCAATAGCTGTTTTTGTGCAAGGTGTGGTGAGAATTTGTACCCAAATGCTCTAGACTCTTTCTGTTGTCCCATGGACATAACCTGGGGAGAAGCTATCCTGACACCCCCAAAATGCAGGCTGCTTTCTGCTCAGTGATGGCTAGACAGGCAGAATGGACCAGGAAGTCCTTCCAGGCCTAAAACCCATTCAAGCAAGCAGGGACATACTTAAGAGAACTACTCACAAGCAGGGATGCTGCATCTGTTGTCATGTGTCTGCTGATTAAGATATCACTTTGTATCTGTCACGGACACAGAATCCAAGGAGTACATTGAGATCCTGGTTGTGACATCATGTCAGAAATGCCTAATAGCAGATTTACTTAAAAAAAAAAATCATAGCAAATCATTTATTATATCCACCATGATGCTTTCAGCCACATATTCTCGAAGCTGCAAACTAATGTATTTTCTTTATATCTTAGCAATGGCATGATACTGAGTATGGATCAGCTTTCACCCGATACAGAAGATTTAGTTAAAATTTTCTTCGTACATAGGATGAGAAATGGTATCTACTAATGAAATTACCCAACACTAGACTATTGCTCTCTTTGGCAGTGTGATTGCATATTGTTCAACTAATCTCCCTTTGAGTTAAGGGAAAGATGGTGTCTTTATTTTCTGCCCAGAACTCCGATGTACACTGCAGCCCTCATATGACTGTATATTGCACTTCAGTGCTTAGGCTGTTACATTTCAGCAGGGCAGAGAAGTAATGCTTGTGTATTTTGCAGATGTTTGTAATGAATGATATTATGTATATTGATTTATTCTGCATAGTTAGGTATAGATCCTGAAATAACTATCAGGTGCATACAGGAGTTAGTGTTTACTATGGAAATGGGAGTCAATAAATGTTAATTACATCCAGCTTGAGCTCATAACTTACAACATTATGATATTATAATGACGGAAGCACGAATCAGTCCTTCCAAGTGTGGGTTTTGCTATTAGAATGTAGTCCACAGAGAGAGTGGCACTAGCTGATTTTAGCATTGTTTGCATGTTTGGTGTTAATTTTGTAAACTTGCTTTGTTTCTCCTTGGTGGAGTTGTCAGGATTTATAAGTACTCTGTCACTTTCAAAGGGCCTGCACTGCATTTTGCTCAGTGGGCAGATTTTATTGCAGCTTCCAGCATAAATGGTAAATACAGTTCTGTATTTCCAGTTGCTCTAACAGAGACTCGCTCTTGTTTGAAAAATTCACACAAGAGCTGCCATGAAAATGTTGCCATTTGTGATTAACTGACAGTTACTTTGGCGTTCCCTGATTTTACAGCCCCAAAAAGTAGAACTTCAGTTGAGAGGCCTAAATTACACAGCTCATTGCCACTTGCATTAGCATTTTAATGCTGACAGTCATCATCGCTCTGAACTGATAGGAGTAGTCACATGAGCAAATGGTCTCCAGTACGCAAGTACCTGTGGCCCATGGCCATATTACTTGCACAGAAAGAAAGGCAGTGAAGGCTTAAGGACAGTTAAATCATAATTTTCATCACAATTTTATGCCCTAAATGTTCCGTAGGCCAAGTTGCTTAGTGATCTCTGCTTGCTTTTGCAGACCTTAATTAGTTCAGATGACCCCTCAATAGCTGCCTGTGTCTCAGCACACTGTGCAGGCATGGGTCACACAGCTACACCAGGAGCCTACAACAGCAGCTTCCAGAGGGCATCTTGGTAGTGACCCAAACTAAACCTTGACTCTCAGACTGGTTACGCTAAAGCCTCTGTCCAAATCTGTGGCTCAAAGTATGTGTCCCTGGCCATGGCTTCCAACTGCTCCTGTGCCTAACCAACTCCTGGGGCTGAGGCACTGTGGCCACACAGAGTATGCAGCTTTTTCACACCCATGCCATTGGCACTGCACAGCAGTGAGCTCTGAGCAGCCCATGGGGAGCAGTGCATTGCTCCTGCTGGTCCTCTGGTCCTCACCCAAAGCTGAGTTGGAAAAAAGGACAAGAGGGCTGGGTACTGGGCAAACTGGCACTGGTCTCTTGGAAGGCATATCGGCATGCCCGGAGGCTGCCCAGGCCCTCCTGGGGTTGCTCTGCCACCCCTGTATGCAGTGGCATGGTGCTGGCAGCTGGCTGACAAGGGCAGGCTGCACAGCAGGTCCATAGCAGCAAGCAGGGGCATCCTCACTTTGTCTGGAGGTACAGTGCATGGGTGACATCACTAGAAACAACTAAAACTATTGATATAGGAACAACAGAGTTAGTCCAAGAAGTAGTATTCAGCTCCTGCCCTGCAAAGCCAAGCACTGATTTTTTTGGGTGGTAGTCTATTGTCTTTGCTGTGCTCCCCATACAGCACAAGCAAAAGTACCTAGTCTGCCCCCTACACCTCTTTGCAGAAAGACTTACAGAAGTGTTCAATTTATTATGTGCAGTTGCAATTTCACTGCTCTTTAATCTCATCACGCAGACTGTGATTTCCCATTACTTCCCAGGGCTCTGAAGTCCTTACTGTTGTTGCTCTTGATGGAGACAGAGGAAAACCTAACAGTATTCATTACAGTATTGTGAATGGTGAGTAGACTTGTCTTTTATGAAATCTGAAGGGCAGTCAAAACCAGATCTGACATTAAATTAGAATGGGATATGCTAGAGTTTAATAAAGCTGAGGCAGACTCTCATGAAATAATGTCAGGTACCTCAGACAGCTCCTTCTACCACAGAACAGCCAACGTACAATCCGCTAAATTTTAGTTTTCCACTCCACAGAACTACAGTTGGAGTTGGTAATTCTGGTGATTTGTTAGTCATCAGTAGCCTGCTTGTAATTTCAGAAAGCATAAAGGGAGATGAATTCATTGCTGCTGAGCATCTATAATCTGGGAGGCAAGAGAATGCATTGGGTGATGCAGACTTGGTATCTAGAGGGATATTTTTATAAATATTGTGATTAAAGTAGTTAAATGGTAAAACCTATGAATTCTTGGAAGAAATTATAAGTGAAGAGATACTGTCTGTACACTGCATTGGAAGAAAGTAGATGTTATCTGAAGATTAATGCTGTTCAGTAGCTATTCTAAGGGTGTCTATCACACATCTTTTAATAGCATAAATGTGAGACTCAGCTGAATTGATAATGACTTAGCTGAATTGATGATTTATTAGCTAATGAAGTCAACAACTTAGCTGAACTGAACTCCAGGATACAACTTCTTTATTTTTGTTTTGTTCCCTCTGCTTCCAAAACAAGACTTCCATGGCAATGGGCATCCCAACTCCCAGGTGTGAGAGATCCCAAAATTTCAAAAGAAAAATCTGAGGTTTAGCTGCAGAGCTACGCAGCAAGCTCTTCACTGTCTTACGTGATCTAAAAATCAAGGTCTAGAGAGAATAGAGAGGGTTGCAACTGAGGTTTTGCCTTGATGCGGGATGGGATCCCTGCTGATGTTCCTTCTCCTCAATGCAAGAGAATGAATAAAAGAGTATAGGTAAAAGGAAGGTAGAAACATTGAGAAAAAAAAGATTGAAAATGAGGAAAGATAAAATGAAAGGTGGAGAATGAGGAGTAAAAACAAATAACTGGGATGAAAATATGGTAGACAAGGAAAAAATTGAGTGAGGAGAATAAGCAAAGGCAGAAGAACCAGCAAAAATGTTGAAGGGAAATGGGATTTATGAGGAAAGGTATTAGATTACCAAGGAAAATGGAGAAGGACCAAAAAGGTGGTATGGGATAAAAAAGGTAAATGATTAGGAAAGAGTGGAAAATGAAGATGGAGGCAGATGACAGATAAGTAGCATAAAATATAATGAAGAGCAGTCTTTCCTCATGCACATTAACAGGATTTTGTTAGCATGAAATGGAAGAGAGGGGAAGAGAATATGCTTTTACTGTGTAGAAAGCTGAAGAAATAAAGAACAAAATATGAGAACAGCCAATCTGCCCCTGCTCTTCAGATGCTAGCATTATGTGTGACAAACCATTATCCTAATACCTGCAGGCTGGGTTATCAAAGGACAAGAAAATACTAACAGCAGATAGGAAATTTATTCTTTATAAGCATTTTTTATCTGGGGAGTGTGGGATAATTTTAGAAAATACTCCAATCCTCTGAACATGCTGTATGAAAGAACACAGATAATGCTACACACTTAGAGTTACCAATTTCCTTGTGATAACTAGGCAATGTATGGTGGTTTGAAACCACTATTGACTTAAGCTTCTTCTCAATTAGCCTGTACTTTCTAGGCCAATGTATCTTAATAATTGACCATTGTATAAGTCGGTATCTGTTCAATGTTGTATCTATTGTACTTTAATGAAGTTGCAGTTATTGCAGGTATTAGCAAAATGGTATACTATCAGATGGTTTAAAAATCAGCACTGGAATTGAGTTAGAGGGAAAGAAAAATTACTGGGGTTTCAGGTCATCATCCTTTATGTCTGAAGGCTTGATCTCCTTAATTATACAGGATTTTCTCTCTTACTTCCAGTGGTAAGCTCTTCTACGAAGTGTATGCTGAGACCAATACTATATGTGAGCCAGCATGTACTGGTGTCCATAGCCCCTCAGCAGAGCAGGGCAGAGCCCCCTGAGCTGCTGGCTGGTCCTCTCCCTGGGCCTGATGGAGAGATGGATGCAGATATTGTGATGAGACATGCTGCCTCTCCACAATCTAACATTTGCTTCAGCACAAATTCGCCAGGTCTGAAGGGACTGCAGCCATGTAACTGGTCTTCTCTTCAGATCAGTGGAAGTTAGGTCAGTGGTAGCAATGTCAGCCAGCAGCCTTGTCGTGTCTGTGTTGTATTTTGCCTCATTGCAAAACCACTGGGGTTTGCCCCATATTCTCAAAAATCCCTTTTTGATAGGGCAGCCTTGCAAGAGGCTGAGAGCTTTTTTAACAACTGAATATCTAAAGGCAGAAGATGCTTCTCCAGAAATGCTGTCTGCAGAAAGAGTGACTGTGTCTCTTTCAGACAGATCATCAGACTTTACACCTTAGCTAATATTGAGAAAAATGTTTTTGTTTCTCAGAGACTTAATTATCCATTTGCTAAATACAATGAGGAATGTCTATTTTTGTCTAAACCAGCATATAAAGAAGACAGCATAATAGAAATGAATACCAAATTTGCATGTCTGGAGGCTGAGGCTGGCAGGGAACCTGACCAGGATGGGAAAGAGAGAGGTGAGGGCAGCTTCCCACAGGCCCAGAGATCCACTGAGCTATTCCTAGGGGAGGAAACCCTTTTTGGCCCTTACTTGTATTTTCATCTCACTGTGACTGGGCATAGAAGTGCTTCATTTCTGAAAAGCGGCTTCAAATCTACTAATACAGGTAGATACAGATATTGACAAAGATACGGTGAATTAAATGTATGGTTGGTTGCTAAAGCTTGCTAATGCTTGCTCTTTAAAAGGAAGTGTCACATGTAACTAGAGCATCTTGGTTTTATTGCAGGAAGTGAAGGTTCTTTTGAAATCGACAACACAACTGGAGCCATTTCTGTTGTAAAAAGCCCAAATCAGCTCAAGAAAGAATTGTATGAACTAAAAGTTCAGGTATGTTCTGTAGCCACTTGAAGTCTGTTGGTCTTCAATGCCATGAGTAGGCATGATTTAGCTGACTTTACCTGTTTTAGAAACTACCTCCCATATTTGAGAAGAGTGCTGGATAGTATAAATCCAAGCAAACTGGTTTTGTTCCTTGGAATATTTCATGTCTCAAATTACTTCTTTCAAATGAAGTCATCTTGTCCTAATTTCATCTCTGAGTCTAGAGAAATAAAAACCTTTACAGGAACTGATCCTTCCGTTCAGAAAAATGCCAACTAGGTTTGCCTGTCTGTCCAAAACATATCCAGTTTAAGTTAATCTCACCTAGACAGCAAAACAGAATTGGAAATGACAGACTAAATCTCAAAAAAAAAGTGTGTAATTTTTCTTACTCAAATATTTGCCTGAATACCTCAAGTACAGTTTTCCTCGCAGAGTTTTCAAGGCTGTAGTCCCTGCAGCAATGTGAAAATCGGCTACCTGTGGTACCACAGCAATGTAAAGGTTGTCTTCCTTTTCTATTTTGTCAACACTTTAGGTAAACAGTTACTTTGTCTCTATTAGATTACCTATGTTATCTTTAGAGAACTGTTTTCAACTAGGTGAGTTACTAAGCTCACAAAATGAGGAAGAGAATTTTTTCACTGAGGCTTTATTGGGACTAGTTCATTACTATGATCTTGCTGTAATCATCATAAATTTCAGCATGAACTGAACTGAGATTTCTAGAGAAATATACAGCTGTGAATCTTCATACAAATTAGAGTGTTAAGGTGGTTTGTACATGCAGATAATACCTGAACATGAAAGTGATGAAAGAGAGTACACCACCATTATTCTCTCTCCTGCCTGCTGCAGGCATCAGAAGTCGGTCAGGAAGGTGACATCTCAGCATACACTTTTGCCATGGTGACTATTCGGGTGGTCGACCTCAACAACCATCCACCAACGTTCTACGGAGAAAATGGTCCTCAGAACAAATTTGAACTGACCATGTATGAGCATCCCCCAGAGGGTGAAATCTTGAGAGGATTGAAGATTACAGTGAATGATTCAGATCAGGTAAATGGAAATTATGTGGACTTCTAGTATTCTTGCCCTATTTCCTGAAAGACTAGAAAGAGCTGTCAGATGGGGAAATGTCCTTTTTGGAACTCAACTATTTCACCTGCATTCCCCAAAGCCTAGGACAAACAAAGTAGTTGTAGGGTCCATTACCACAGCGAATTTGGACCCAGAAGTATACTTAACCTGTCATATTACTATTATGTTGAGAAGGGTGGTGCTAAACATGCAGTCCATTTCTTGCAGCAGCTGAAGTTGAGCAGTGTTTATGAACTTTCCCTAACTTCTAGTTGCATTCAGTTGTTATCACTGAAATGTCTGAGAATATAATCCAATCGGCAAGTTACTTAGAGTTTCCAATCATTTTAGTAATTGCACCTCAAGTACAATTTCTGCCTGTATCTTCTAAGCACCTGATGGAAACAATGTAGACCATACTCTTATACTCATCAGAATATGTTATCCTTTGACTTTTACATTACAGCCAGAGTCTGCAGTGCATGCATTGATAAATCATTCCCAATGGAGTGATATTTATAGGTAATCTTATAAATTATGCCAATTGACAAAGACTACATCTAACCAGATAAAGGAAAGAAGACTCCGTCCATCTCAGCCTGGTATTTAACTGACCTGTGATGCCCATAGATACTATGGTGATGGTTGCTATAGGGATTCCTAAGCTAAATACTGTATGAATGGCGTCCATCTGAGTTAGCCAGAGGTTAGGTAATGACAAGAGCAGAGCTTATTACATCTGAGAAATGTATTACTAGTGGAAAGAGTGCTCTTATATAACCGTGCTCAGTATTGTACTGTTTTGACTGTATTGTACTCTATCAAACTCACCAGCTTCTTCCCCCTCCCCGCTGCTGCTCTGCAGCAAGCAGACAAATGACTGTTTTCAAAGCAGTTCTGTGTCTATCTTGCTATTGTCGCAGGGGATGTTGCTGCAGAAGGAAAGAAACAAAACCCATCTTTTCTATTTAGAGACAACATAGATATGTATCATATGTAGGCTGAAAAAAAAAAAAACAAAACATTTAGGCTGCAAGTTAGACTACAAAATAAGCAGAAAGCATCGCTAGATACAATGTATAGATTTATCAAGAAGCTTCCGAGTACTGTATAAGACATCACTGTAGGTTGGGTTGGTTTTCTTTTAAGGCATAGAATGCAAATTTTTCATTTCTGCACAACTGAGCTATATAGAGAAGAAGGTTAAACATAAGTCTGCTTCTGTCACAGCCGTTAGTGACTCTTTCTTCTGGGAGAATGGCTGAAACAGGTGAGGAGGAGGAAGCTGTGGGCAAGGTCTGCTTTAGGCCTACAGCTTGATGAAAATTCTGTCTTTACTTATATTATACAGAATTTTCTTTCTCAGCCCTCTTTACCCAACAGACACAGCTTAGGGGCTCTGTGCTATTGTTCCTTCAGTCATTCCTGTGTCCCATGACTGGCTGCTTGGGGACATGCAGCAACATGGCCTGCTTTGAGAAGATCTGGGTTCAGGGGACTTCACTGTCAGGAATCATTCGGCTGCTGGAGGGAGGCTGTTCTCTTCCTCCCTGCCCCATGCCACTGTCCCTCCAGTCACATACACTCTGAAGGGCAGAGGACTTTGTATTGTCAGACAGAACACTTTCCCTATCAGCACTATTTTCCACAGTCCATCAGCTCTGGCTTTCTGGTTCTTTGCTTTACTACCCAGCAAAAGAAAACCTGTTGTCATTGTAGCTGTGGGGGTTTATATGACCAAGCAACGCAGACCACTGAGTTTGGATCCAAGGTCATTCTGTTTCCCTTGGGTGACTACTGCTGGACACTTCTCCTCTTGACATGAGCTAGGGTTGCAACAAGGACTGTTCATAACAAGCCCTCCAGAGATACAGCTGAAAATAGAGTTATCCTGTTTAAAAGTTATTATTAGAAATTCTTCTTCTCAAGATTTATGCTAGGGAGAGAACATGGTACCAGTCAGGTGATGAATCTGATTGGCTTGTCACAGTGTAAAGATGACATCATTTGAGAAATTGATGTACCCAGAGGGTTGGTAAAGTAGATTCAGCTTATTTTCCCACCTTCCCTGTAAGACAGAAATATAGGAATCACCATTGCATCTTTTCTCTTCCATGCTTCAGTTTGATTTAAGATAATTGGTCTGGCCAACTGGCTCTGGCTCACTCTTCCCAACTCACACTCAACTGGGGGTAACCTTTTAGATACTGCTGCTTTCCATGTCCTCTCTGGCTAGAAAGTTTATCTGAATAATGGGATTTGGATTCTCACTTCACCTGGATCTGTCAAATGCATGTCAGATTTTATTCTGCACAAGTGGAGCCCCTATGTCCAAGTGTATCAGCTTCCAAAAGTTCTAATGGCTGTAATTCTGGGCTAGCTTAACCCAGTCAATGCAAACCATAGCATGCCACTTCTGTTTGGAAATCGCACATCTTTGTGGTTCTTCATCATCATCGCAGGCTGTGAGCTCTTAGCACGCAGGTTGAGTGTTTGAGGTGTTTGTTGTCCTGACAGGCAATCCAGTTGTCTTTCCTTGACAGGAACCAGGAGAAGGCAAGATTTGCCTGCCAATGTGCACATGATGTCAACTCTGTCGCTTGCACTATCTCACAGTGTGAGGCACAAAACCCCAGGCTGCTTGCCACAAGATCCCTCTCTTAGCCAGTCCTGCTGCAGGGTTTTTCCATTCTGACTGAAAGAATAACCATGCTTGTCAATCTATTTTAAGAAAAGCTGTGTCCATTTTGTGACAAGGGCCAGAGGGATTATATAACTAAGCTGCTTAGCAGTCTCTTGCCCAGGGGATGGAGAGCAGAGGGTTCTAAGCAGTAAGACTCATTCTGATATTATACAGTGTGAAGAAACAGAGCCAGTCTAGGCTGTAAGAAATGAATCATTCACTGAAAACAATGCTGTATCTGCTTTTATTCACAGGGAGCCAATGCTAAATTCAACCTCCGTCTTGTTGGACCTGGTGGCATCTTCCGAGTGGTTCCTCAAACAGTCCTGAATGAGGCTCAGGTTACAATAATAGTGGAAAATTCTGCTGCTATTGACTATGAGAAATTCAAGGTGTTAACCTTCAAGGTACTTCCACTTTCCAGGTCCTCTCATCCTGTGTATATCATATGTATATGATGGCTTATGTATCTGATGGTATTTAGCTTCTTAACCCACCCAGAGCTGTCTGATGCATTGTCAGTGACATTATATTCCCTGTAACGGAAACTCATTTCGGCCTCTGGTTCATCAACTTCCAAAGGTTTAATGGATTCATATGTGAACTAATTTAGTCTAGTCAGTGAAAACTGTTGAGTATTCTCTCTCTGTGGAGACTGCACATGTTAGTGGTTCTGAGTAATTCTAGACTGAACTCTAAGGGTGTTATTTCTGCTCTTAAAACGATGAATGCACAGGATGAAATCCTATTTCTTTGGGACCAGAACTTTACCTGCTTGGTCCTAAGTAATTTGGTTCATGATCATGCTTTTAAATATTGGCAGGCTGAAGATCCCAGCTGACTGAAAGACAATTACCAAAAATTGCTGACTTTGTCAGAGTGTATCTGTCTATATGGCATTTTGCACTCTGACCTGAATCTACCTCACCCATGCTCTAACCTAGCCATAGAAGAACCAGCTTTGATCCTAAAGGTGGACATTTGCATTATCACCTTCCCAAATGGATTCCTTGACTCATCAACAATATAATTAAGTAGTCTGGTTTTGTGTCAACTGCCTGTGAACATGAGGATAGATGGCTCAGTTCTGACTGCAAAGAAATCATTAAAACAAAAATGCCCACACTCTCTAGCAGAGTATTAACCTATGCTAGTTTTGACGTTGTACAAAATGGTGGGGTTTGCACAGCCCAGAAGCCAACTTCTTGGATTTTTTTCTCGCCCTTGCTGTATGGTTTGCTTTGTGTCCTTACCAAGTTCCATTGCAGTATGCTTCATGTCTCCTCCTGTAGTGTTCCTTAGTCATTTTGAGCTTCATAGTTTATAGATACTACAAAACTATGAGGCACCATTGTTGGATTAAAATGCAAGATTCTGAAAGGGCTATAAAGTGCTACTGACACTAGTTCCTAATAGTAACTGTACATTTATTCAGGTTAAACTATTGAGAGACCAATAAAGAAGTTATCCATGGCCTCCTCATGGATACTAATAGAAATCAAAGTAGTTAATGTGATTGCCATGAGCACTGAAAGAATTAATTACCAGAAAAAATAATATATATGTATTTTTTTAGCTTACGCAATTATTTACTTTTGCTTTTTTTTTCTTATCTTTGGATGATTTTTTTTTCTGCTGGAGAAAGACCATAAGGCTTTGCTGAAAATGTGGAACCTTTGTCTAGATTCTAAATGAAGAAGGTGCAGCTGTATGACATAGTAGTAATATACGGCAGCAAATAATTTATAAAGACCTCATTGCTGTCTCCATTTCCCTGAAAAGTCCAAATCACTTCCTACCAAGTTTTAGTTGCCAAGTAGTCATTCTGGAATTTTGATGAAATAGATTCTTATTTCTATACAACATGTATCCCACAGCAATTTTGAGAAGCTATTTTCCAGGGGTTTTGTTTGTTATTGAACAGTAAAATGCCAGAGAGGAGTTAAAGTTAATTTGACTGGGAGATGCACTGAAAACCTACCTGAATAAAAGACTAGTAGAGAAAATCTGTCTTCCATTAAGAGCTGCCTCTTAAACATAATTAGTCAGGACCTCCTTCATTTTCAGCTGCCCAAGAGCTAGAGTGGGTTTCTCAAGGCATAGCAGCTGTTGTAATTTGTACCCCTCCAGCTTGGCCTTTCAGATCTCAAGTCCCTATGCCAAAGGGGACATATTGTTGTCCCACCTTGTCAGGGGCTTCCTGCTCTGTGGTGGCTGCTCTTCCCTGCATGAATTAGCTGTGCATTAAGGGACAATATGAGAAACCATATTGCTAACCCAGCACTGCCATCCCTCAGCTGAGGGATGCAATAGGCATGCACTGGTATTAAGTTCTGCTGATGGCCAGCCAGAGCATCCATGCTGCTGTCTTTTCCCCATTCCTGGTATTGCTGTATGTGGTTGCCTCCCTTTTCAGATGAGCAGAGTTATGAGAATATGTTATGCCAGAGTCCTCTATTTGCCCTCAGATACAGTGAGGTAATTCAAAGTCCCTGTGGGTATGTGATAACATCCTAATCAGCATGAGGTAGTGAGGGTACAGTTTCCCAGAAGTCTAGTGGCAGGAGTCCTCACAAACTTTGTGAAATGAGATTCTGCTGTACATGTCTCATTCCTTACTATCCTGCATTTTGGGTTGGGGTACTGCTGCTTCCAAACATCTCAGGGCACCAGTTGTCCCGTCTCTTTACCCTGTTTATTGCCCTGACTTCTTTCCTGACAAAGAATGTAGGCATCCTCTGCAAAGGATAGTCATCCAGTTTAAGTGGTTATTCAAAATCTTTCTGTGCTTATGTTTCCCTAGATTCTAGGGACTGCCCAGGGATGGGCATTTGCTTGTTTCTGTTATGGCTTTTCAGCTATGTTGGTTAGTTACGATCAACCACATCTGTCACATGAAGTCTACTATATATACACAGATTTGATGTCCTTTTTCCACAGCTGATTGCCTATTGCAAGCATGCAGAAATGAGCCTAGGCAGCATACTGATATAGCTCATCATGTCTCCCTGTTTTTGAGCCATCTGGGCTAAAAAGCACCAACATGCCATGGGCAGTGGAAGGAAGCTCCTTTAAGAAATAATATTAGCTGTTTTGTAATAATTCCCTGATTTGCTCTTCCTAGCTTCTTGCAATAGAGGTGAACACACCGGAGAAATTCAGCTCAACAGCTGATGTAGTGATACGCTTGCTGGATACCAATGACAACGTCCCAAAGTTCTCTTCTGACTACTACATTGCCAGGATCCCTGAGAACTCCCCAGGGGGCTCAAATGTAGTTGCTGTTACAGTAAGTTTCATTCATCTCTTAAGAAATTCTGTCTTTTCTAGGTGTCTGTGGAGACAGTACCTTAAAAACAGGGGAGAGACACAAGTAACAAATCTTACCTGTCACTCAGCTTCCAGACCGAACTCCAGATCCTTTCCAGAATCAACAAAAAAACTCCACTCTGAAAAAAATAAACTCTTAGGCAAACATTTTTCAGAACCACAATTTTACTTTGTTTTTTAGTTAAAGGCCATCTGCCTTTAAGGCAAATCACATGGCCTGTGAGTATTAAGAAAGCCCCAGTCAAATCGGTGTCCAGCAGGAAGATTCAGTTATGATTAAGTGGAATTGGATTTACTGGATTTACTTGCTTAAGTATGAGTAAAAAGAAAACAACATGGTTGTTAGTCAGTATTAGTCTTCTAGTGAGAGGAATCTGGCTGCTAAATGCATAATTAGACAGTTAGTGAAGACAAGAATATAACATTAGAACGCTTAGAGAATGGAAAGAAACATCCTCTCACAGTAGGAAAAACAAGCCTATGGATTTTCCAGTATCCCACATTTTCATATAAAGAAAGTCGGGGTATTACATGGATCATATGTGCTGGAGAAGCATTTCCAGCCATTGATGCGAGGTGTATCTCTTTAATGCAGCTGCTAGGACTGGAAACAGACCTCATGCCACAAAGCTGAGAAAGCACCTGGCCATCTGGGGCTCAGTGGGTGATGCAAGTCACCTTGCAGAGGCCTCACGGATGGGTAAGAATGATGGAGGCAGGTTGCCAGAGATCTGCAGCAAATGCTGACTGCAAGTAAGAAAGAAAGAGTCAGAATAATAAAGTACTGAAGGCAAATTTTAGGGATGGCAGAACAAAAGAAGAAGTGAAACATAAACAGTACAGAAAGTTTTATTAGAAAAAAAACAGCTTTCTGTTTTCTGCAGAAAACGTAATCCCAAACATCACTATCTTTGCAGCAAGAGGACTAAGAAATACTAAGAGGTGAACAGCAGAAAAAAAAAAAATAAAATAAGTTTGCAGAACAATGTAATTGCCCATTCTGAGCCAAGGTACGCAGGTCATTGTAGCTGGCAAGTCCATATAAAATTTATTGTCATGTGCTGTCAACGTGTCCTCAGAGCTACCAGAGAAGTAGGAGCTCCTGGAAATAGCTGTTACCAAATCAATAGGTTTCCTAATCCTGAGCTAAGAAAGGAAGCCAGCAAGATATCATCTGGGGTAGTATCTGCATTACTGAAAATCACACAGGCACAAGAGTGATTAAAATATAAAAAAAACTGAAACATTGTGTGTAAATTGAAGCATTTGTTACGCATTAAATTAAATCAATTAAACAAGCAAAGGCTTAAAAAATACTCTATATAAAGCAAATAATTTTGTCTGGAGAATACACGTTAATATTTAACTGATAATTAGGAAGGTTTGAGAGTGGGCAGTTTGGTTGTTGTTGTTTTGTTTTTGGTGGGGTTTTTTTGTCATTAAGATTAACTCCATCCCTATTAAGGGAAGGATGTGTTAAATGTCCATGGATAGAGCCATCTAGTGGCTTTCTCCCTGCTAGAGCCTCTGGGTACCAGACCGGGCAGGAGACAGGCGGCATCTTAACAGCTTCCTGGAAAGACCAGTGATGTTTCCTTGTGTTATATTTTGCACATTTGTTTTATGTGGTTTCCCCCTACAAATGTGATGGCAAAAAGAGTGAAAAGCGCTTGTGTTTTTATATGGCCTGTTTTTAAAAGAAAAACATTTCTCTTCTGCAATTTAGTAGAGGTTGATTCTCTTATTTCCTTTTATTAAGGCTACAGATCCAGACTCAGGGCTTTGGGGAGAAGTCAAGTACTCCATCTATGGAACAGGAGCAGATCTGTAAGTAAAAACAAAAAAAAGAAAAAGAAAACTACATAACCTCCAAGCAGGGCTTTAAAAGATTTCCTTTTTTTTTTTTTTTTTAAGAACAGACTCATTCTTGACCTGCTCATTTCCAAGGACATTTATGCCATGTTCTTTGTGAGTTCTGCGAAAACAACAACAGAAAAACTAGTGTGATCATTAAACATCTGCTTCATGAACTCATGGAATTTTACCCACAAGCCCCCAAAGAGACATAAGGCAGCTAAAGTACCAGTACAGAGGATCTGTTCAATCACCATTTAAAAAACACTTATAAGAGAGAGGTAGAGGAGGTTTTGGTCTATTTGTGAAAAGTCAGTTCTGGAGGACAAAAAAAAAAACAAAAACATGTTGCTCTTTCCTCTTTACTTTCCATTCAGTTGTATAGATGGTTTAGTTTTAACTCTTGTCAGCATAAATCAAAGAAGACTTTCACAAATATAAACTTCAGCTTTGGAGGCCAGCTGCATTGAGTGTTCAGAGCATTTTATGTATTTAAACCTAATAGTCCTGTATCAACGAAGAAAGAAATCTATTGTTTATTTGATTTTGTAATGATGTCTAGCTCCATCTCCCTGTTTTGGGGGGCAGTGATGGGTAAGAACATTCTGAACCTGAAACACTGGTTTCTGCCACACTACCTCTACCCCAGCAGTTGCCCTGGCCCATTTGCTGTCATGGCTAGCATCACTGGCCATCACAGTTATTGCTTCTGGAACTTGCAGCTCCAGGATATGGCTCATCTGCAGAATCTGTTTTTCTCTGTACATTATCCACCTGTAGTTAAAGATGAACTCTTCCTGTTAAGGTGAAAGCCTTTTAGGAGGCACAATCAAAGTCCAAAATACAAGCTGATAAGGGCAAACCTCTTCTGTAGCCAGAAGAATACACATACAGGAACATTTCCTTGATGGGTTGTTTTGAGCTCTTCACTAAGTCCTGAAGCTAGCTGCTAACTGCATAGAGCAAGCAGGCAAAGGTCGTGTCATACAGGCAGACCTTTCAGGTTTAGGATATAGCAGCTGGTGCAAAGAAGCTTATGAAGGTTGTTGACTGAGGATTTAGAAAAAGATGTGAGTGCAACTTTATTCTGATTGGAATTATGGGAATGCTCAGACTCACTGTTCTTCTGTGAAGAAATTAAGAGTGAATACTTTTTTTCTTCCTTCTTAAGTATGATTTTCTTTTCCCTGTGCAAGAATGGCATGTCTCCGTAAAGCTGGATTGACTGCCTAGTCCTGGGACCTCCAGATCTGCTGAACACACAAATTTGGTGCAGATGTGAGAGTTTCAGCTAGACGCATGATTTTTTCTGTCTCAGGGGTTTCATTGGTGGATATGTAGTTGCATTGGCAGAAAGATGAGTTGCATTGGGTGAGAAGAATCATTTTATTGTTGAACATGAAACCATTATGCTCATAATCCTACATCTAAGCTCTCAGTGGGAGTGGGGTACGCTGCTGCAATGCCTTCATATTTCTGTGCTTCTATTCTTCCACTAAAATGTGGGTGATGAGAGTCCTCTCTGCATGGTTAGCCTGGGCTGTGTACTAAGGAGGCACTTGGTATGGGCACTGTCTCCTATCAAAAGTTTGCACAGATCTTTCAACCTCTTGGCTTTCATCAAGACTTGTATTTGTATTTAACAGGGTAATGAAAACAATTGAAGGGTCTGGATTATTAAGTACTGTTTTTACAATTGCTCTCAATTGTGCTCACAGTTGAAATACAGAAAATATTTTGTTATCCTGTACATTAATTTAAGGGTATATAAAACCCTTCATCTGTTAAAAACCCTACCACCTGGAACCTATACTGGCATCCCATTTTAAAATGACACTCTGTTAGTATCTTCTCTATAAATCCAAGATTTTGGCTGACAATTTGACAGTGTCTCAGTAATTACAAATGTGTAGAATCAAACTTGCTACAGATAAATCTGAACACCCACTCCATCCCAGTGCCAGTCTATGGAAAAGTCATTACTTTTGGAGAACATAATTAGCCCCAGTCTTTGGGGGATTTGAGAGAAGCCATTTTTCTTACTCATTTTGAGAAGTGAAGAGCTAAAATATGATATGCAGCATACTTCCTTTAGCTATTAAGGTGATATCAATCAATCTTAATTTATGCAGGATATGATCTAATATACCGTACTTATAAAAGAGGGAAGAAAAAAAAAAGGCAGTTCCTTAGTGTTTTAACACTAAGAAATCATTCTAGGGGAAGACCATCACACTGTGTGTTTACTGAGGACAAAGACTTTAACAGAAAATGCACCTAAAATGGCTAATGCTCAATAGATCAAAAAACACTGGGAACTGATAATTCTCTGGTTTTAAAGCCTCAAGGAACTAGCCAGACAGGAGTTAGATGAAGAGTAACCAGTCTTTTGGCACAACATTTCAATGTTTAAAGCCCACCTTTGCCCCAGGCTGTTAACGCACTAAGTGACCAAAAGAACCAAAAGTCTTTGCATGCTTCTTTTCCAGGTTCCTAATCCATCCATCAACAGGTATAATTTATACCCAGCCCTGGGCTGTATTAGATGCTGAAGTAAACTCAAAGTATAATTTCTATGTGAAGGCAGAGGACACAGATGGGAAATACAGCTTGGCTGAAGTGTTTATCACTGTGCTAGATGTCAATGACCACTCTCCAGAGTTCAATGAAAATATCCAGGAAAAGACGATGATCATTGGGTCACCAGTGAAGATAGAGGTGAGAGGCAACACTGTGTGTCACAAAGCAGAGTGCTTTGGAAAAGCCTGAGCTCTGGTGTTTATTGTTCAGGAAATGTGACGAATGCCTGAAAGCTGGCTTTTCCTGGGGCTTTATTTTTCACATTCATGTATATGTAACAAGTGGATTAAAGCATGGAATGATAGTATTTACAGACTGCTGAGAGGGAGAAATAAATTCTATAAGCAAAAGATACAGTTCTGTTACAGTATTTGAATCACCCACTGGTGGAGGACCCTGGATTATACAGTGATCGTAAGAAGCCCAAATAAGATAAGTGAATGAAAGTACAGGGTTTTGAATACTTAACCTTCCTGCCACATCTTTGTGCCTAACCACACAGCTTCTTTCCCTTTGCTTTGCGGAATTGTATTTGTTGATCCAGTGTGGAAAAGGAGGCTAAAAAATTGCAATAACAATTCACAGGCAAAGGAGCAGAACATCTAGTGTTACGCAGATTTGATTGCATATAGTGAAGATTACACAACACTGAATGTTAGCAGAAAAAATACCACAGCACAAAAATTAGGGCAGCTATAGTTTATAGTGTGGATCTAATGCTATTGTTCCCTACTACTTCACATTTGTCCCCATGCTGTGCAAGAGACTCCCCAGCAGTGGACCATTTGCATTCTACAAATAGGAATAGGTTATGGTTCAGTTTTTCCTCTGATATTGTTTAATCTCAGAAATCGCTTATACAAAAATAACTCTAGTCCTGCTGTTTTTCACTAGAAAATGTAGCATAGCTGATACCAGAAAAAGTGAAATTGTTTCCAAGATGAAAGAAAAACAGCCCAGTCACAGCATGGGTATTATCAGAAATGAATGCTCAGAAACTCTGAGTTTTATCTTCAGGCAAAGATACAAACAATAACATCTCTATTCTTTATGCTTCTCCTACCAGGCTATAGATCAAGATGCAGAAGAACCCAACAACATTGTGGATTATTCCATCATGCAAGCAGATCCAGCCAACGTGTTTGATATAGACCAAAGCACTGGGGAAATCAAACTGAAATCCTATATCCGTTCCCTGGATATCATCCACAATATCACAAAGAACAAAGACTGCATATGGTCAGTGGTGGTGCAGGCCAAAGACAGAGGCTCCCCGTCCTTCAGTACCACAGCAGTCCTGAAGATTGATATCACAGAGGAGGTAAGCAAATGTTATTTTAAAAAATCTTTATGTGAGAGGCACCAAAGAGTAGACACTGTTTGCTTTATTCCTGACAATACTTTAAAAATGCTTCTGGAGTTGCAATCTAGCCAAAATGTTGCCAGCCGTTCCTTCTCCTTCCTTGCTAGCTCTGTTTTGTAGTGTTTCTAGAGCCTTGTGGTGAAGCTGAATTCTACAGTCACAAGCGTAAAAGACATTTTGATCAGAGAAATTATAAAAGTACAAAGGTGGGAGCATATTATGGTTGGGAGATTAATTTCTTGCATCTGATTTTTAGAGATAGATGCAAATAAAAGACTACAGACTCCTGAGAGTAAAGGTAAATCCTGACTGCTAAATTTCTGCACTTTTTAATGTAATTCAACAGAAGAAAAACAATCTTTTTCCCTACAAAAAGTGAGTAGAAAGTAGCTGTGGCCAGAGTGAAATGTATCAGACCAGTTTTGCATGTCAACATAAGTGACAGAGGAAAAGTGAGAAAACTATTATAGGAATGCTTTAAAGTACATAGAATTTTAGATGTAAGTTTAATAGTTGCAGTATTATCAGCAGACAAAACAAGAACACTCTAAAAGATTGCACACCTGGATTGAGAGTTTCCTGTTGGTCCAACTTTTACATCAACAAAACAACAAGCAGCACATGCTTGCATGATTCTTATTTATTGTAACTGTCTTGCCATGCCTTTAAGTAGGTACCAGCAGGGTGGAAATAGTCTTTAAAGTAGATGAGAAACACATTGTTAGCCTGACAATCTCTGGACCACACACATACTGCACAAAGATGCAAATCTCTTCCCACAGACAGCAGCTGGCCTTCTCTTTGGTCAAAGTGCACCTACTGCTCCTTTATCTGTTACAGTCTGTTTTCTCCATACCCTCTTGTTCCATTGATACTCCTTATCAGGTGCATTTATATGATACTTCTTGTACACAGTTCAGAGCCTGATGGAAGTTAAAGCTGTCTTCAGAGAACACTTGTGTGCATTGGCAAAATAAACTTAGCAGCAGAAGAATAACTTTCAGTCTCTGTTGTGGGCACCTGTCCTGTCAGAACTGCCAGGTGACTTCGGTCTGCCCTAGCAGAGGGGGTACCTGGCATGGGGCTGCTTCTTGGGGCTGGCCAGCCCTGCTGCAGGCTCCTTGGAAGCTGCTGTGCAACATTGCTGGGGCTCATTATGGGCAGAGCATGCTGCTTCAAGGCCATGACATGTGGAACGGGGGGACTGCACAGGCTGGGTTTCTGTGATCACTCTAGAGATTTAGCCATTCTTACAGATATAAAGGAAATAAACTGCTTAACACTGTGATTTCCCATGGAAACCAGACGTTTTGGTGGGTTTTATATATCAAATAAGAATTTCTACCTGCAGCCAACAGTGGGAGCTTCAGCCATCCCTGCCTTGCTTCCAGGCTTCTCACAGGGTGCACATTCCAGGAGTGTGTGGTACCAGGTGGCCACAGGCACTGTCCCCAGTCTTGACACCCAGTATTTGGTCTCCAGTTTTCCTTCCTCTTCCGATGAGCTGGTGACTTCTCCATTAGTATGCAGGGCTAAGGCACAGGGTTGAGGGATGTCAAGGGGATGGAGGGTACACTATACCTCCTCTGCTGGGGAAGAAGATCTGTATCTAAACCAGTTGATGAAGGACATCCGGGGAGAAAACAAGAGCAGCTTATTTCCTGGATTTCCTTCTTGTGCTTCAAGCACATCAGCATTTGTCTTTTACAAATTTTCCCCTCTGCCTTTTCTCCCCCTCCAGGGGCACAGATTTGGCACAAAGTGAGGGATAAATTCTAAAGGGGAAGCAGAGAAGGCAGTGAGACATGTATCCCTCTCAGACAATTTTTCTTTCTCTTCCTCCCACGCCCGATGAAAAATCCTGACACAGAGCCTGAGATAGCAACAGTATCTTCTTTCTTCACTTGCATAGGTCTCTTAAGCAGGGTCTGTGCTATTGATCTGATGTTGCATCCTCCATAAGATTTTGTACATTTCTCCAGTAATTCTTCCATTGCTCGCAATGATTTGTGTTGATTTTGTTTTTTTTTTCATCAAAAAGCATCACATCTTGCAAAAACCACTCTCAAATTTCAGCTTGTATGTGAGTGAGATGTAATGCAATATCAGCGTACACAACCTTTGGTCCCTCTCTGTGCCCCAGAGACCGTGCAATCACTGCCAAAGCTTTGTGAAGAAGAGTCTCTCGGTATAGGAACATTGTGTACTCTCCAGTTTTCTCTCTGAGACTGTTAAAAATGTGTATTTCATCCCTCTGTTCTCCAGCTGTAAAAAGTCTCTTTCAGTTAGCTGTTTGGTGGGCATTTATGTATTACTGATTTTGGATAAGGAGGATATTTTTGAATACATCCTCTAGAGGTTTCCTGCAGTGTTAATCACACTAAGTAATTAAACAGGCATATTTTCTGATTAACATTTACCATTGCAATTAGCACAGGGCTGTGCCCTTTGAGATAGATGCCTAGTGGCTAAGTTCAGCAGTATTGCACATCAAGAAGACCTTTTGGTCTTGGAATAATACAGTGATAAAAAAAATCCAGAGGCCTTTTAATTTAACTGAGTCTGGGTTTACGGAAATTGGTATTGAGTGGCGACTGTTAATCTATCCTTTCTCAACAGAATATTAAACATGCTGAAAAAGCCACTGCTTTTTCACCCCTATGTCTCACTCAAAAATCTATTCCTGCTACCTGAGATTTTCATGGAAAGCTGATTCCCACTCGTGAAGGTTGGCCTGATGAGAAGATCCCTCTGTCTCTTTATGACTCCACTGAGATTCTGCAAATATATGGGGGCGTTTATTTACACCTCTTCATGGACTGAAGCTTAAATCCACATTTAGACAGCATAATCTCCAGTCCTTAATAGCTTTGGCCCCTCATTTAGACTTCTAAATGTAGCTGGTGAGTCTCAGTTTTAGATCCTCCTAACTGAAAGGTTCAACAAATGCTATCTGTGAATTAATGTGGAGATCTCCTTGTCCCTCATATTAACTCTGAAACCACAGAAACTGTGGTTGCTGATGGCACTAAATATCCTTTACCACAGCTGCAGAGCAGTTAGCCTCTTCTTTCTGCAGTTACATGGACCTTGAAAACAGTTGTTCAGAGAAGGTTGGTTTGATTTGAGAAGTTTTGCCCCATGATGGTGTTTGTACTGCAAAGTGATGTAAATGCAGCCTTCATACACAGTCATAGCACTGCTCTTTGGGCTAAGCACTGAAGGGGGCAGCTTGCGTTTTACCTCAGATCAGGAGTTACTTCTGAAGCAAATCTCCTTATCAGCCCACATTACTGTGGGATGGCTCATATCTCAGATTGCTCCAAGCACACAAACTGTATTACTTTCAGATGAAAATGTATTTGTAAAGCACACCAACTGTGCTTTGGTGGTAGCAAGCAGTCCGTCCCTGCAACCAGGCTAGAACAAAAGTCCAGAAATGCTTATTATGTAGAAATAGGCTCCACAGAACCAGCTGGGTGTTGCACAAATCCAATTGCTCAAGTCAACACAGCCTGGGTTGTTTATAATCTGTGATAGCTTGGGCTCTTAACAGCTTCACCTACTTAGACTTCTAAATACAGCTGAGGAGCCTTAGCTGCTCTTGTGGTTGAACAGCTCAACCACACACTCCTGGTGTGTCCAACTTCCAGGTACATCAGCCACTTGCTCTGTTCACTGTAACCCATGCATTATGAAAGGCCCTTGAGAAGCTGCCAGGAGATGTGCGTCTCTGCACACTGCAAACTGTTGTGATAGGAAAGAGAAAAGCAAAGGAAATTAGTTACCATTTTGGTAGCAAAGACTGACATGGGCATCCTCTTTGGAAAATATAACAACATAAGAAGGGTGTGAACATGCTAAAACAAGTCCAGAGGAAGGCCACAGAGGTGGTCAGAGGGCTGGAGCACCTTGCCCATGAACACAGGCTGAGAGAGTTGAGGTTGCTCAGCCTGAAGAAGGTTCCAGGGAGACCTTGGAGAAGCTTCCAGTGCCTAAAGGGAGCCTGCAAGAAATCTGGAAAGGGACTTTTTACAAGAGCGTGTAGTGATAGGACAAGGGAAACAGGTTCAAACTGCAAGAGGGGAGATTCAGCTCTTAGGAAGAAATTCTTTACTGTGAGAATGGTGAGGCACTGGAATATGTTGCCCAGAGAAGCTGTGGCTGCCCCATTCCTTGAAGTGTTCAAGCCCAGGTGGGATGGGGCTTTGAGCAACCTGGTCTAGTAGATGGTGTCCCTCTCCATGGCAGGGGATTGGAATTAGATGATCTTTAAGGTCCTTTCCAACCCAAACCTATCGCTACTTAAATAATGGGAAAACTCTTTGCACAGCAAAATGATGAAAATTGCTCGCTACATGTAAAGTTAAATGGTCCATGAATTTCAACAGCATTTCTTCACCCATTTCTCTTTGACAACAGGAAATACTCAGGGTAGAGGAGTGGGCTTGGATAATGTGTTTGAGGTAGGTTATGAAAATACAGAAGTGAAGGCAACGGGGGTATTTATTAATGAATTTACATTCCCCAAGTTTAGCGATGTGATTTAAATAGTGTTCCTGTGTAATATCTGACAAGAGGTGCTCTGAAACATTTTGGGGGGATACTTAGTTGTTTTCCTCCACAGACTGGGGAGGATGGGGAGATGAGCATCCTAGTTTAGACTGATACAGAGAAATCCATGTGATCTCACTTTAACTGACTAAAAGCGAGAAGTTCAAGACCAAGCTAGTCACAAAGCTGTCTTTATACTCACTGCCTTTGAGATCTATATTAGCATGGGGTGACTACTGCTTTGGACATGTCATTTTCTCCCCATTGACTAAAAAGCTGGCAGCTTAGACAACCAACTAAAATGCAGATAACCTGTTATTAGAAATGGAAAGTTTGGGTGATGATTCCCTCCCAAAGTCTAGGACAGAGGATTGGGGCATGATGAGTAGCCCTGTCTCTCCACAGCTGCACATAGCTTTATGACCAGCTATTTGCTAAATGAACCAGAAATGTGCCATTTCTGAAGGATCTCCTGGCCTTCCACAACACTACTCTCTGTCCAGATACAATTGCAGGAGCTTGTATTTATTACGAACTTCTCTTGGAAATGTAGTCCAGGGTGGACTACCGTGCCAGGAATAAAGGTGATCTATGTACCACGCTGCTACCCTCTATTCTCTGATCAACCAGGTGTTTAGAAGTGCCTCCTAACTTCGGTTAGTGCTTCTGGATTCAGTTCAATGTCATTACAACTGTCTCTTCTCCTGTGCCTAGTTCAACACTTAGCTCCCTTTACACTATATGCTCTCTGTCCTGTACGCATTTCACCTTAGTCCCCTAGCTGTACTTATGATAGATATTGCCCTCCTTCAAATATAACTATTTGAGGGCTGACCATTTCTCTTATTTTTGATATTTCCAGATCAAGTCCAGGGTAAGATCCTATATTTTAGGCCTCAAGAAGCGTCCATGGACAATATTTGGAATTTGCATGAGTGGCGTCCTTTCTACCATTTCTGTAACAATGGTGATCTCCACCATCATGTACTGGAAAAGTGTGAAAAGATCCAAGCTCCACCCACAGGGCAAAATCCGCAAAATTATACGGGGACCTCCGAGACGCACAGTGTGCTAAGCTGCAAAGTGAACTGGCCATTCATTTGTCCTTAATATGCCATATGTAGCTTATGTTATTGTTTATTTCTTTTATTTCTAAAAACAAAGCTCTTTCTTTAACTCTACTCATCTCCCCTACCTCAAAGAGTTTTGTTATGTCTGTAAAAGAGTACTTGAAAACAGAATGGAGCACATACCTGCTAACTACTCTTTTGTACACTGTAATTTTATGAAGTGAGGGTTTCTCATAATCTTTTCAATGCCATGCTCAGTAATAGTCCTATAAACTGCACACCATATCACCTGCAATTGTTGTTGAAAGTTCATTTTCTACTCATAAACTTCTATTTGTGTTCAACACTATTATTCCTAGGAAATTAACTCTGAAATGTAATACAACAATACAGCTGCAGATCCTGGAGCCAATTATTTTCTTCCTCAGTTCTTGCAAATTAAACAAACACTATGGTGACATGCAGGAATCCACCCTAATTTGGCAGTAGTACTCCTGTAAGCTTTCACTATTGTAAGCATCTCGGAATGCTGTAATGCTTGCTCAGTGTCCTGCTCCATCTAAAGTCTCCAAACCTGGGCTGGCTCTTCGACTCTCATTTTTTTTTTTTTTAGAGACAACTTCCATTAGTTAGCCCTGCTTGTTACATATTTTGGACAAATGAAATTTCTGGGTCACTGTCTGTCCCATAGAGTAAGTCATGTGTTTTCTCTGTACTCTTTTACAGACTCTTCACAAAGGGCCTATGGCCGCCTTTTTGATGCAAACTAAAGATAACCCCATGAAAGCCTTAGGAGTGCTAGCTGGTGTCATGGGCATAATGGTGCTGATAACTATCATGATCTCTACTGCCATGTTCTGGCGCAACAAGCGGTCCAACAAAATCATGCCGGTAAGACGGATCATAAAAAAGAGACAGACCCCACAGCCCCGGACAGTGAGGATGGAATGGCTGAAATTCAAGAGGCCCAGCAACGCTGCAGAGAAGTTTGTTGTTGAGAATGATGCCAAAGATCTGCACAATGAGAACAGCAACAACAACATCCAGGTTGCCCCTGTGCCGCCGACTGCTCCCTTGCCTCCACCTCCCCCTACCGTGGCTCCCAGGGGTGATGCCTCAGGGTGGCGGGTGCCGACTGTGTCCGGCTCCCTCACTCCCAAGTTTATAAACAAGCAGGTGAAGAAGAGAGGTCATGGCAGTGCCCACAATGCCCTTGTGTCAGAGCTCAAAATGAGGTTTGAGAAGAGGAACGCAGCTATGGGTGAGCCCCACATCTAGGTGCTCTTGGCAGCCCCCAGTGACTGCAGATTGTGGCTGGGCGTGGATATATTTATGTGCTGTGGTTTTCCCTGTGTCTGTCAGCATTCCGTGAACTGAGAGCAGCTTTGTGCTGGAATAGACACCCCTCACCTTCTGCAAGTATTACATGCTACAGAGTCACCCCACCTATAGCATAGCTGCGGTCATTGTCCAGTTGCAGCTGCAGTACCTTTGGCTTGTGTCACAGTGCTGGTCCTTTCCAACAGCTGTCTGAACAGGGTACTGAGTACCTTCATGCCAGCCACAGTTTCCCCAAGTGAACAGGGATTCAGGTTGCCCCCATTTTGGTGACCCCTACCCAGAGTCCAAGTTTTCAAACACAGAATTCTGCAGCCAAGGCACTGGAGGATGCCAGTTCTGACCTGGACTCATAGGTGTGTCTGAGGTGTCCAAAACCCCATCATGCCCAATCCCAGACTCACTTTTGAAGACACTGGCCTGGCTGTAGTGCCAGCACTGACTCAATGTGCAGGTCTCCTACAGCAGTGACAATGCATGCTGCAAGAAGGTATAGTGTAGCTGGTACCTGCTGTCCTCAGGGTGCAACACACTTTGCAACAGCTGGAAGAGCAATGTGCTCATGGCCTGAGTACCTTCATTCCCAAAAGGTAAGCAGACAGACTTGGAAAAGGTCATAATTTTCCTGCAGCTTATGATGGGTTTTGCCAGAGTACATTGACATGATGCTGTGCTTTGCTTCTGCTCTGAACTTGCCTAGTAATCATCCGACAGGAAGGCCACCTCAGCCTTCTCTAGACCAGCTGGGGCAAGATTGGAGCACAGTTCAATAGCAGCACTTGCTCAATACTGCCCTCTTCTGACACCGTGTCCCCCAAGGAGGGGAAGCCCATACGGAGAAGGACGTGATGAAAGCAGCAGGGAATACAAGGGAAAACCAAGATCAAAATGATAAGTGAAAAATACAGACAAGTGCTGGAAAGTTGCATATGTCGGTCAGGGAAGTGTGTGGAAAGATCATTTGATTTTGTACCCTGCTAACAGGAGCTGTTGAGGAATATATTTCACCACCTCTCCTGGCTTGCTCCAGGGACTGGTGAGTGCAAAGGAGGTTTCTGGTTTGTCCTGTCAGTACTTTTGAGTGAATTATGCAACCGTCAGGAGGGGTAATGCAGGGGGTGGGGGGCAGCTGACACTTTTTTTGCCTGTTACATGACAGTAAAAAGGCACCAAAGGCAGAACGCTTTTTCACTGGATCTTTTTTCACTGGATACACAGTTTCACCCTCCTGTTTGTTTCTGAGGGCATGCTTTTCAGCTGGGACTGTTTCCTCACCCTCTGGGAAAAAGCAGTGTGTACCAGGCTGCCTGGGAAATGGCACACTGCACCTCTGCCTGTGCCCTGGCCCTGCAGGGCAGCTGTGCTGTCATGGATTGGCACTGTGAAAGTCAAGATGGGGAGGAAACCCTACAGGACAGAACACTGTTAATTCAAGGGTTTCCTGAGACTCTTCTCCAGCTCCAGCAGACATGGCCTTCAGGGATTCCTCTCCTGACGTCCCATCAGCTGGTCTAATTTCCTTTCTCTGCATCAGCTTGGGGGACAGCTGGTTGAATATAAAGCTCCCTAGATACAGGGAAAATGCTGCATTTTTTAACTTCAGTCTGATACATCCAGAAGTCAGAGGGTGACCATAGCTCATGTCACCTGTGGGCTGAGCGCGGAGCTGTATCCCAGTAGTGCAGCAAGGTCTCAGCAGGGGGGCTATGCCCTCAGTGCTGCTCCCCTGTCATATCTCTCATTTCCATCACTTTTCTTACTTATCCCTCCTCCTGGGGCTTAATGGCATGAGGCCCAGGCTCTGTTGTTGTGTGTGGTCACCTTGTCCTCCGGCTACGGGTGGAGGGAGGGGATGTGCAGCCACTGGGCACACTCCCACTGCCCTGTGCAAGCATGTGTGTTCTGCTGGTTGTGTCTCCACCAGGTTGTGCAGTCTTTCCCAAGGTATCAAAAGTCTGTGGTTTATTACCCATACTACTGTTTTCCCAGTGTTGTGTTGAAGCCAGCATTCAGTGTTTGTTCTCCAATGAGGAAAGCCTATAAAAACCATTCAGTTAACTGAGATTTATTAGGCATTATAGTCTTACAGTCTTAGAGATTGTATTTAAGAGAGAATAAAGATGTTTTATTACTATGTTGTGAGACTTTTCTCCAGTTACTCTGTATTTCAACTTCAGGGTGGGTTTTTTAATAAATAAATAAATTATATAAAAAAAAACAAACAACCTGCAAAAGGTGCTTCTGTGCATGACATCCTTCTGCTGGCAGTGAGGCCTTGCTGTTGCTTGGTATTGACCACATGGGTGCAGGCAACCAGAGGTCTCTCTAGGATAACAAAATGGCCTCTTTTGCAGGCCATGAGTCAGAAGAGGGGCTGTGTAGATTTTGCGCAACACTAGCCTGGAAGGAGAGGAGGTGAGAAGCAGGATGCTGTAAGGCACAGAGGACAGGCAGGGTCACAGATGAGTCCATGGCCGAATGCCCATTGCACTCTGCAGCCCACTGCGGCACAGCCCCAGTGGCAGGAAAGCTCCCTGTGAGACAACAGGTTTGTCTGATGCCAGAGCTCACTGGGTATGCAATTTGTTAAGTGGTGATGGGTTGTTTTGTCTTTCCTTGGCTGTTCCCTCACTGTGATTCAGTGTCTCTCTCTCTGGTCTCCACAGTTTGATGTTGTTCCTCCACGGTGACTTGAGTGGGAGAAGGCCAGTCATTACAGGCACTGGTGTTTTTTTTCACTCACCCCTCGCACATGGGGAGTGATGGACCTCAACCAGTATCATCTCTTGCCTGTCCCTGTATGCACTATGTCCCCAGGGGTTTCTCCAGGACAAGGTCATCTCCCTTGCTTGGCAGGCTGCTGCTGCTCATTCCTCACTGCTCCATACCCCCTGTGATGTGCTGCAACAGCCAGGCTCCCTCCATCCCTGCAGCTGAACCTCAGAGCCCCTTGGCATCCAGGATTTTTACAGTTTGTAACTGTAAAAGGCTAGAAATGAAGCAGAGGACATCTGCATATTCTGAAAATCCATCACATTTATTACTTTGACAACAAAAGACTGACAAGACTAGGAAGTCTCTTGAAGTATAACACTGAGAGTCAGCACTGACAAAACAGGTCTCTGCTCAAAAGCTGCGCAGTAGCTTACAGCAGAAGGAGATGCTGGGGGAGGAAACACAGGGCCTGAGGAGGGTCAGCATGGAAAACACAGCAAAAACCAAACTACATCTAGAAAGCCAAACTGCCATGTAGTGAAGCTCACATTAGGCTTTGTCTCTGCTTACCACTGAGGTTCCTGCTCTATTTCTTATCTTTTTGAGGAGGTCTAAACACATATTTAAAAGTGCTGTGGGTCTGCTGGCCACGTGCTTTTGTTGTGCTGGAAAGCACGAGGCCAAAACCAAAAAATAATAAGTCACACATCCTCAGACCCCCGAGAAATAAAGCATGAGCTGCTCTGTGAGCTGGGGGCTGGTTGCTTTTACATGTGCATCTGGGGTTTTTTGCCTCTAGAAAGGAGTCAAGCTTTGGTTTCAAAGCAGCAGGGTGGGCAGGCAGCACATCTGCATTTGGGGAAGGTGCCTGGCTCCCAGCCCTGGCTCCACCACTGTCTGTGCCCCATGCCAATTGTCCTGCCAGCCCAATCCAAGCCAAGCATCCCCATCACCTCCCATATCACCCTACAGCCACAGCGCCATCTTTTCTCCAAGTAATTAAAATAGCTCCATCATGTTGACTCAGTCTTCCCCCCGCTACTTTTTGTTGCTGGTTATGACCACAGACCTGCCCTGGCTCTCTGTCCCTGTTTCAATGAGGCAGCACCTGGCACAGGGCAGAGCTGCGAATGAATCTCTTCATCCATGCTCCAGCTGGGAAAAATAAAGTGAAGTGAGAGCAAGGGGAGACCTTTGGCATTTTGCCACATGCACTATTATTGGTTTGGTTGGGGTATTTTTGTTAATGCTGTGTTTGTATGTTTTCGTGCATTGCTCCGTGACACTGTTGCAGAGGCAGACCTGGGCTGTGGGCTCACAGCCACACACCCTGAGCACCCCTATTCGCAGCACTTCCCAAGCCTGCTGCAGTTCCAGTGGTTGTGCCCAACCATGCCTTGAGTCCGTGCAGCACGGAGTCTCCTTTGCACGGTCCCTCAAGCAAACCAGCACGTACTGTGGCTTGAGGTCACCTCTAAAAGGTGCCGCTGCAGACAGGCAGGGCGGGCACAGCTGGGCTAGTAGAGGTCAGCGCTGTTCCTGTGGGGTGGCCGGGTCTTGCCAGGCTCATCACGGGCTGGGGGCCGCCGGATGCTGCGGCCACCCTCGGGGAGGCAGAGCCCATCCTCGCTGCCGGCTGGCAGGCTGTCCAGCGTGCTCTCCTTGCTGCCCGCAGCCTGGGCCTGGCCCCCGCGGCGGCGGCGCGGGCACATGCTGGGGCAGCGGGCCAGGCAGCCAGGGCGGGCCTCAGCAGTGCAGGCGTACATGCCAGCGGGCACAGCCAACACCATGGCGCAGACGATGACCACGATGTGGATGAGCTTCTCACGCTGCTCCAGCTGGCTGATGTCGCTGCCCGTGACGAAAACGACGCACTGGCCCTTGCGAGGCGCCTGGTTGCGCACAGCCACGCACACCTCGTACTTGGTGGCAGGCAGCAGGTCAGTCACCGAGTAGGTGTTGATGCCGGGGCCAATGTAGATGGCGTCCTTCTGGGCCGCGTCATAGCGGCCCACCAGGAGGGTGTACCAGGTCTCCCCTGGCTCGCCTGCTGCTGCTGCCACTGCAAACCACTCCAGGGTGATGCCATAGACTGTCTGCTTGGCAATGCGCACTTCTACGTGGGCTCCCGACTCAGCTGGGCCAATGGGAGCCCAGCCTGAGGTGGTAGTGGTTGAGGATGCCCACGGGGACCGCACATGGAGATTGATGGCCACTGAGGTGTTGCCCAAGAAGTTAGCAGCTGTACAGGTGTAGTTGCCAGCATCTGCTCTCCGTGCTGCGGGGATCAGCAGCTCTGAGCGCACCATGTCCTCACTGATGGGCTCCGTGGACACTGCAGGCAAAAGGGAGCTGTGTTAGCACGCAGAAACATCTTGAGGTAGTGCCAGGACCATTCTAATGTGGGATGGGTGCCAGGAGGCCAGGCAGAGCCTGCCCTGCCCCGGGAAAAGAGGATGAGGGGGCAGAGGAGTGTGCCAAACCCCGCAGAGCTTGTCAGCAAAGCATTTTCCAGGCAGAAAGGCAATAAATGCACTTGGACACCTAAGGATGGGAGACAGGGTGTATGGCTACCCCAATGTGAGCCGCTGGGGAGGCTGCTGTGGGCAGAGGCCAAGCCACCTGTATGCCGTCTGCCATCAATGTCCTCAGGTCACGGCAAGCCAGGGAGAGCCACTGAGGTGCAGCAGGCACCACTGCTTTTGGACACAGGCTCCATCCTCCATTTGGATTGAATGTAGAAAAATGTCAGTCTCAAGAGGCTTGGGCCAAAAAGAGGTGTGTGAAACCACGCATTGTTGGTCTGGAAGTGAGACGCAGCTTGAAGAACGGTATGAAACACCCTGTTGCCTACCCAAACAGGGGCACATGGCTGTGCTTGGGGAAAGCTTGTATGTAATTAATTTAACATGTGCTTGCAGAAAGATGCACAAGTGCTACAATGCTGCAATTAAAGCAACTATCAGCCCAGGATTAAGGGCTAATGCTATCTTATTTAGCTAGCTGGCTTATTAGGAACCCACGTGCATTATTAGCTTGTCTGATGAAAATAGCAACTTGCCCTACTGAAGGCTCTTAGTAAGAATAAATGTGAGGGAAGCTTTGTAAGACCCAAGCTGGATAAGGAGGAAAAGGCCTCATATTACAAGGACCTCAGTAAAGAACATAAATAAACAAAGCTTATGGAGAATGACAACGTCTGTTTTGGTTATAGAGCATGAATGAATACAGACAGGCAACAAGTCTGCATGATTTTGTGGTTTATGTGGGTATTTCTTGGGCAAAGATGGGAGTAGCATAGAAACATACAAGTGTAGGTGTGTGCGTGCTCCTACAAACACACATATGTACATACAAATATATACTGTGTGCATATATAATATATCATATATAGCATAAATTAGATTTGTATCTCGATAGCTACAGATTTATTATACATGTGTGACTATATTAATAGTTCTTAATATCATGTGTGGTGATGAAAGAGCCACTGCTAAAAATCCACATGTAGAATCATAGAATGGTTTGGGTTGGAAAGAACCTTAAAGCTCATTCAGTTCCAACCCCCTGCCATGGGCAGGGACACCTCCCACTAGACCAGGCTGATCAAGGCCCTTGAATGTTGCCAGGGATGGGCATCCACAGCTTCTCTGGGCAACCTGTTCCAGTGCCTCACCACCCTCACAGTAAAGAACTTCTTCCTTGTATCTAACCTAAATCTCCCCTGTTTAAGCTTGAACACATTGCCCCTTGTACTATTGCTACAGTCCCTGATGAAAAGTCCCTCCCCAGCATCCTTGTAGGTCCCCCTTC